TGTTAAATTATTAGAAGAATATTCACTATCAAACTAATTGTTAAAATAAAAGGAAGAAAATTTCTACGAATATTTTTTTTTTGTTGTTATTTTTTGATTTCTATTGTTTGTGATTGTATAGTTTTTGCTTCAAGATTAGCTAATTCTTCTTGAGTCATTTCATGTTGTTTATTTAATTCAGCCATTTGTTGAACTAGACGAAGACGTTCATGAAGAATTTTTTCTAATAATGTTTCATTCTAGACAAAAAAAAACAGAACATAATAACAACCTAGTTTATGTAACGGCTTATTTTTATTTATACGAATGTATATTATTGTTATAAACATACTATTGAAACAGATGGTGCAGTATTAGTTGAGGTTCCATCTAATCCATTAATTCCATTTCGAAGTCGACTAACTGATGAATTACCATTTGGAAGACCTGGTTCAAACATATCATATGATAATGGTGTGTCAATTGGGCTAATCATTGATGAACGTGGTTCTTGATCGATATTTTTATGTTGTTGAATTTGTTTTGAAATTTCATTAGCATTTGTTTCGTTTGTAGACATAGATGATGTTGATCGTATTAATTTTTTTGATGTATCTAATGTTTCTATATATGATGAATGATGATTTATTAGAGAATTATTTGTATGTTGATGATATAAATCGGTATCGATTGGTGTAGCTGAAATAAATAAAATATTAGTTTTATACATATATATGCCCAGGACTACACAAGTACAGATATCTAATAATGAAAGAGATCAAAATATCGTGAGATCATAGTAGGTATCAGCAACAAATTAATACATTCGCGGCGATGTAATCTGCCGGTAGAGCTTGTCGGGTCCGAATCTAGAAACTTTCTATGGATCGAGTTCGGCACTGACCTAATGGATCATAGTTAATTATGACTTGATTGTTATAAGATCATCGTCAAGATTGCTTGGGAAATGTTTAGAGGGTCTTAGTCGCAGAATACAAATAATAGGTAAAAGTTATCTGAAATCTTTGGAGCGACTTGAAGTGTCAAACTACAGTTAGTAGTCAATTATAAAAACTAAAGACTCTCAGATAGTCATGAGCAGGACCAATCGTTTTTGCTTTCTGGTTTCGCGCTTAGCATTATATGTACTAGCGAAAAATGCGATATCATTGTCTATTCTGCACATTTGTGCGTTTGATAGCTCTGTTGTGTTAGTCCCGGTCCCGCCAGAACCATGACCATCTTACCCACATCTATTTTTAGGTAATTTTTTTCCGTATTTCAGACGTTGTGAAGGTGTCTGTGCTGAACATTTTGGTTGAGAAAGTGTTAAATTTGACAAATAAATGACGCTCCTAAGATCAAAATACTAAAAATTCTACATGAGTCTGTTGCTACAGCTTTGACGTTTGTCAGTATTTCGATTCTAGAATCATCATTTATTTACCAGATTTAAAGTTTCTTTTTACTAGAATGATCAGTGCAGATGACTGTTCAAAGTTTGATAGATCAAAAAACTTTATCTGGAAACTTTTGATTTTTTTATAGCTGACTACTCATTGATGTACTCAGTTATACTTCTAAAGTTTTGAAACTTTTCATGATTCTGTAACATATTATCATCCAGTAAATCATCAATATGTTAGAAGTAGAGAAGTACAAAGCCAAATTTTTTGCTCTCGGGCAAATCACCAAATTTTAGTCCTGGACATTTCTACTTGAGAAATATAAACAATAGTTTTCAAGTCTATCTATAGATTAATTCGAAAGTTTTTTTTTCTTCAAAAAATAATTTCATTGTTTTTCTTTTTATTTCTATATTATAATGTTAACATGTTCATATATATTTAAATATAATCTTACCATTATTCATACATCGAGTCAATAACAGTAATTCATTTATTATATTATTTGCATCTTTTGGTATTATATATGGTCTTTGAGCATTATTTAACCAATTTTGATGTGATTCAATTCTATCAAGATCTGTTTGATCTTGATGAATATTTTTTAATGAAAATTTTTCTTCACATTTTTTATTTGATATGATTTCACTATTAACAAGTTGACATATAGTTTGCATCATAGTTTGTAATGTTATCATTTGATTTTCAATTTTTTTTTGAAAATCTAATTGATTTTTAATAATAACCGAAAGTTGATCTTTAAAATGATTTATGTCTTGATTTCCTTTAGAATTTGATACATACTTAAATATACACGAAAAAACAAAAAACAAACAATAATAATTTAAAATAAAAAAAAATCATATTTTATTTACTTGTTTAACATGATTTGTAAGAGTAATAAGTCCTGTAGCAAGTGCTGTACTACATGTAGGTGATGATAGAATATTTGTATTTGATTTCAAACCTGTTATTGATTCTAAATCATTTAATTCTAATGAAAGACGATCGAGTAATTTTTTTAATTTATCTGATGATGTATTTGTATTTGATTCTGTATTATTAGATTGGCCATCCTTTTTTAATCGATTCGACATAAATGAAACACTATTTGTTGATCGAATACCATTTAATTGTTGACGAGATTGAGAATAAAGACTTGATGAACGAATTATTGGATATACTTGATTATCTTTTCTATTCGAACGACTTACACGAACAGGTTCATTTTCTATTATTTCTTCATCATCAGAATGAACTGATAGATTATCTATATAGAAAACATAAATTATCATTTTGATGAATGACATGTATATATATATATATAGTTGTTCAAACCTTCCTCAGATTGATTCAAATCAATAGGATTTGATGAATTTATATTTTTTGCTGATGTAAGCCTAAAACAAATCCGAAATAACTGAACTAATCAGTGATAAAGTTCGTATGAAACAACTTGATCATCATATTTAAGCGCACGAGAGAACTCATTCAACTGATAACTTCCGTTTGTCCTCATATTTTTCTCATAGTGTAAATAAAAATCCTAAACGGGTTCATGCTATTAGATGTGTCTTCTCGGGTTAGGTTTAGACTATACGCTTAGGAGAGTGAAACAGGATGATTTTCACCTCCTAAATTTTTTCTTGCATTCTGCCTCTCTCCCTGGAAATTTTCTGTTAGAGGCAGGCAATGTTTTTAATCTTTCGGTAAGACAAATTGACTATGTAAAAGTGAAGATCTATTGCCAACTTTTTTAAAGAGAACCAAACTGAATCAAGTCATATTTTAATTGGACCTAATAAACGTGAACGAAGTTTTAGTGTATTACAACGAATTAAAACAGAACTAGGCAATGGTCTATCATCAAAAGTCTTAGAGACAGTTGTAGAATTTAGTATATTGAAATCACATGATATGGAAAACCATTTATTGATATAAACAGTTTTCGTATGTAGTAACAATATATTCATTTTCATTGATCTGAACTTTCTTTACGAATTTACTAATATGAGAAATAGCAACGAAGAAAAAAAGTGTTCACAATTGATAACAAGAGTATTAAAAGTTCCAAGTGAGAATATCTTTAACGATTTCTGTGTAGCCTTGCGAGATCTTCTCGCTCCTAAGCATAATCAAACGAAAGCTATGTATGTATAGAAATATCATATATTCATTTGTGAGAAACCTAACAGGTACAAACAATAATAAGATGATAGTTCTTCCTGGAGATTTGTAAAAACTCAAGGAGAAACAAACTGATTTCTATGCTAGAAATCATAGAAAATAAGATTAAAACTAAAGTCCTGATTGCTAATGATTTTCAATAATTGCAAATATTTCTGATGACTGTTCTTAGTTTCTAATAATTTCTTGTGATTATCCTTCATTTCTAAGCATTTTCAATAATTTCTAGTGAACAGATAAAAACTGATTTTTAGTGATAGAAATCAAGTCATTTCCATTAATCGATTAATAATGATCAAATAAACTGGTTACAACTGTCACCTCGCTCACGGTAGTTTTTCAATAATCGACCGACAGAGCAAAAGTCTATACAGTTGAGCTTTTCAGGCTATTTATAGTAACTTAATACACATCTCAAACATAAAAATTAGCTAAATTTTAAAGTCCCGACATATACGCAATTCTATTTTAGGAAATCACATGGCTGACGAGGAAAAAATTTTCCCTCTAGCTCCCATGTAGTTTCATCATTAATGTAAGTATAATGGTATGTTCATAAAATTCTGTAGCTCGAGAAAACGTTTATTTTGTTTTGGGAATAAATTATTTGTATAAATTCTCTCGTTACGTATAAAATGGATCGGTACGATGGATAGCTTTTATTTTGCATACTTTAGAAATTTTTTCTATTATGCATCATTGATCATGCAGACAACTATATCTATTATTGTATTTACTTTGTTTTTTTGATCAAATGAGTTTTTCCATTATGTATCTAAAATTAATTTTATTTTTATAAAATCGTTTTCAAATAATTTTATTTATCTTACAATATTATTTTTTGAAATAATTTTATCTGATCTATTTGATTTTTTTATTAATTCATTAATCTAAATGAAAGATATGTAAAAATTAATTATTAAATTTATCTTTACATCACGTTGATTAAAAAGTATTTCACGTAAAATATCTAATTGATCTTGTCGTATATCTTTCATAGATAAACATTTTCGTTGTTTTTCTTTTTGAATTAATTGATAACATGGTCTTCGTTGATTCTAGAATAAACATTTAAAATTTAAACAAAAAAATTTCTTTTTTTTAAATAATTACAATTCCATTATCACTCGATCGATCACAAATGGATGACTAAAAGAATTTAAATGATACGATATGAAATAAAGAAAATATTATCATCATACATCTCGATCAAGAAACTTTTTTAAAGTTGATTTTCGTTGTACAGTTACTTTCGACATAATATTTTTCAATGAACACAAAAATATGAACTATAAAAAAAAAGAGATTGGACCATTTGAATTATATTCCTATGGTGACCAATACATTTCAAATGTGCGTCATCTATTCATAGAATATGTGGTAAACTGCTTAGCAACAATACATTATATGTAAGTTAAATCTATTAACATGTTGAAAGCAGGATCATTACCTTCACCAATTATAACTCCATTATCATCAAATCCACTTTCATTAAAAAATAAAATTGATACACAAACTTTTATTGAAATTCGATCAGGTTTTATTTTTATTTTTTTTGTTGAATTATTCTAAATAATAATATCATATTTGTTTTTATTTATTTATAATATATTAAGATGTTCCAAATGTACGAATTTATTTTACTGTTGATGGATCAAAACCTGATCCATTTCAAATATTTCGAACTGGTTCGATTTCGACTTATCTTTATCGTGGAGCATTTCGTCTTGGTCTAGGAAGACGTGTACTAAAAGCAATTGCTGTTACGAAGTAGAATAATTTATTTTTGGATTTATTTTTATTTTTTTTTATAATTTCTTATTCGATAGCAATGGATTACGTGAGAGTAATATTATAACAAAATTTCTTGATGTAAATGATAAGTATTCAGAAAATTATGATGATAGTCCAAATGAACATTCAGATAATGATCCGAGTTTAGTAGTAAGTTTTACAGATTTTAAAATAATAAAAAAAAATTATTTATATCGATAATTTAGGATAATTATCAATCGAAATTGGATGATGATTTTAGTATTCAAAGTAGTATTGAAGGTCCAATTTCACCTGTTAGTTATACTGGTACACCAGTAAATGCTTGGAGTACACCTGACGAAAATTGGATCGATCCAAATCGAAATTCTCAATATGAATATACGAGAGAACAAATGGCTGTAGTAAATTTTTCTTTCGAACTATTTTATTTTACATGATTTGAAATTTAGCGTTTACCGCCACCACCACAGCCTCGTGTTATGAATACAACACATGAAGAGGAAAATTTTTGGGATCGAAAAACAAAACCATTAAGTCCAGGCAATGGAAATTGGAAAAAAACTCTTGAACATCTATTCTTAAATATTTATAATTATGTTAAAGATGAACGAGAATTACGTGAACTTTTTGGTTGGAAAATATTTGGACGAGTATTTTAAAATTCATTACTATCCTTTCTGTAACATACTCATCAGTTTTCTATTTTTTAGATTGAAACAATTCGTCTTATAGATAAAGGTAATATTTATCAAGTATTAGCAACATTTAAAAAATCTCTTGGTGAACAAACATTTCATGAAGAACCACCAATACCTATTCGAAAACGTTCTTCAAAACGTCGATCTACGAAACGAATACGAACACCACCTGATACCGACGAAGAAAAATCCAATCGATATACTCATTCATTAAGACCACCTGATACTAAAGAAGAAAGGCCTACTCGACATACTCATTCATTAAAACCATCTGTTCGTCAAGAAGAATTCACACATGAAGAAGAAGAAGAACAGCGAACACCAAAAATTTATACTGAAGAAATAGTGGTAAACTAATATCAAGATTTTATTTTATTTTATTTTGTTTGTTTTTTTTTACTATTTTATTTAAATAGCAACAAGGAACACTGATACCATTTCCTCATTTTAATGTTGAACAAGGTAAATAAAATTCCAAATATATTGAATTTATTTTATTTCGTATATAGATTGTAAAAATCTTCATGAATCAATGAAAGGTGTTGGAACAGATGAAGATACACTTATACAAATACTTGGCAATCGTAGTAATGATCAACGTTTAAAAATTCGTGATAAATATAAAACTATGTTTGGTCAAGTATGAAAATTATAAAAAAAAAATCTAAAGAATAATTTTTAAAATAAAAAACAAATATTTATCTAGGATTTAGAGAATGATATAAAAGGTGATACATCAGGAAATTTTCGTAAAATTTTAATAAATCTTCTCTATTCTCCTGTTGAATATGATTGTTATGAATTACAACGAGCTATTAAAGGACTTGGTACAAATGACGAAGCTTTAATTGAAATATTAGCTAATCGATCAAATAAACGTTTACGAGCCATTAATGATCAATATGCAAAATGTAAAGATGAATTTTTCTTTGTTTTTTTTTTTTGTATTATTTTTGTTTTTCTTTTAGTATTTAATCAATCACTTGAAAAAAATATTGTTAATGATACAAGTGGTCATTTTAAAAAATTATTAATTGCATTATTACAAGGTCAACGTTCAGAATCGAATCAAATCAATGAAAATGAAATTAAAAATGATGCAAAACAATTATATGAAGCAGGTGAAAAGAAATGGGGAACTGATGAATCAAAATTTATTCAAATTCTTTGTAATCGAAGGTTTATAATTTTTTAGAAATTTTATTTAATTTTGCTATATGATATTTTTTTATTAGTGATGTACAATTAAAAGCTGTTTTTGAAGTTTATCAACAATATAGCAAAAAAGATATTGAAGTTGATATTAAATCAGAAACAAGTGGAAGTTTATGTAATGGTTTATTAACAATTGGTAAGTATGAAGATAATTTTTCAAATGTTCTACTGAATTTTTGAACTAAAATTTTGTCAATAAATATGTCTAATGACTCTCAGAATGTTCTGAAAGTTTCAATTGAAAAGAATATTCCTTTGTCGAGATATTGAATTTTCAAGTAAACTCAATTTTTCGTGATAATTAATAAATGATTATTGTTTTTTTTTTGGAAATTCAATATCTGGACAAAAGCATATTCTTTTCAGTTCAAACTTTCAGAACATTAGGCCAATCTATGGGCGAAATTGCAGTAAGACAGCCATAATTCGGCTTCAATAGCCCATAGGAAGATAAACCCTTCAAGTCATTTTCTAGTCTTGCCGAAATCTCTTATTTACTTTTAGCTAACTACAGATATTTCAATAATAGAGATAATGATGGTATATGCAGATTTTAAAAAACGAAGATAAATGGTTTGTTTGATGTTTTAGAAAATACTGATATTTGTGTCAGTCATTGATTTTAATTAAAAAAAAACCACTAAAACTTATTTACCATGTTTTGCTACAACTCTGTGATCTATCACTAATTTATTCTTTTGCCTTTCAGTTCGTGTTATGCGTAATCGACCTGGTTTCTTTGCATATCAACTGAAAAAAGCACTTAAGGTATGTTTTATTATTGAAAAAATATTTCAGTAGTATGATAAAAAATAAATATTTCTACTACGCATTTTGGAATAGAAGATAAGTCATGGCAAGTTGCATAGATGATGAAACCGGTACAGCTATAATAAAGATCGATTGTTATAATGAAATTTCTTTTTAATAGTGAACTTTTCCAAGTTATCAACTCAGATCACGAATTTGAAATATCTCAAAATTTGTGTGATAATGTTCAATATGTGATTTTACTATTTAAAAATAAAATTAATCATAATACCAATGCATCAAATATGGTTTCATTGCTTCCGACTCTTTAGCGTAATAAAGTATTGACAATAATAATAATAATAATAATAATAGATTGATATTGATGTTTTCTTGAACTGAAAACCACATATTTAATATTGGCACACAACTCTTCAGCTATTTCAGGTTCATGATCTAAGTTGTAAATTTCGGAGAGTTCACTATCAAAAGAAATTTCATTTCAAGAATTGATCTATTATTGCTGTACCAGTTCATACCGATAGATCGACCGATTCGGTCTGGATTTTTCAGACTAGTATTAATACTGGTCTCGAAGAAACTATTATCCATTTCAAAATAGAAAAGTAGTGGGTATGTTTTGAATAACTTCTGATAGAAATAAGATAGAGACCTGTGGTTTTCACTGTTGAAAAGAGGAGATGAAGGCGCATCGAATCATATATTATAGATTTTACTGCCAAGTGTTTTGAGAGTTTTTATTGAATTTTTTCAAAAAAATGTGTACGTTTGGATTCGATTAGTACCATAAATTCTCATGAAACTGTAGGAAAAAACTGAAATTTTCTTGAAAAATCAAGTACAAGTCCACAGGGAAATGTCTTTAACTCCTGAACATTACAAATTAAAAATCCGGACCTTCGGTTCTGATGCACTCCTAAAAATCGAAAATTCCCTGTGATGACTGAGCGCGGTACATTGGTTTATCGAAATCTCGATTACAAACACTCAATAAAACTTGCTGGAAAAGTCTATAATATATGATTCGATGTGTCTTCATCGTCTTTTTCGAACAGTGAAAATCGCAAGTCCGTATCTTCTTTCTATCGAAAGCTATTAGAAAAATACCCAATACGCTTCTATTTTGAAATAGATAATAGACTGGTTCCATCTATGTCAAGTTGAATACCTCGCGAACGCGAACAGGTCTTGTAAAACGATTTTCGTTGACTTGTCATCAATTTTAAAGGTATAGAACTATAGCAGTGAAGCTTTCTTTGATCGGTTCATAAGTGGATGTTATTCTCTTTCGAACCATGAAAAGTCCAGATTTCTAGTTTGTATTAGTCAAGAGTTAGAAATTTTCTAAAGACCTCCAGAGCTCGATTATTTGACCTTGGATATTACGATCAAAACAGTTCTAGAGAGGATAATTGGTCAAGATAAGTTGAATAGTGATGTTTGTTTTAGTTCTAAAATGATCTACAATTATTTATGTTCAAGATTTACAAAATATCAGATGTTGACATTGTCTTGTGACAGGAAAATTTGAAATTTCGAATGTCTGAATTTAATAATTGTAGATCACTTTGGAACTAAAAACACGACTTCACTCAGCTTGGTCAAGTAACACTCTTTAGGCCTGTTCTACGCATAATTCAATGCCAACTAGCTGAAATCATGAGATCTATGGAGAACTCTTGAATAGTACAAAGTTAAAATTTCGAGTTTATGTAGTTGGAAAAAGAATAATCATTTCTATCGAAACCAATCGAAGAAATTGTTTTTTGCTATAGTTCGATGTGCCATAGACTCTTAACAACAAGTTGACGAAATATAAATTGACATGTTCTTATTCAATTTGTTTTTAATATCGAATCATTATAGGGTGCAGGTACTGATGAAGATGAATTAAATCGTGTAATTATATCTCGTTGTGAAGTTGATATGATTCAAATAAAAGAAGAATATGAAAATATAATGAAACGTTCATTAGAAGATCATATTCACGTAAAATTAAATCTTTTCTTTAAAAAAAAACAAAATTTATAATAATTATATCTATGATTTAGAATGATACAAGTGGAGATTATCGAAAAATTCTACTTGAATTAATTAAAGATCCTAGTCAACGAACAAGACAAAAACCTGAAAAAAGTACAATGAATTCATTGAAATTTATGTTCATCATTAGAATATTTTTTTTTCGTTTAGCAAAAAAACATGAAAATGTTGATGTATCTGATTATGAACAACCTGAAATTTATAAAGAAGAAATTATTGTAAATAGGTTTTTCGTTTTTAAGATAAATTTACATTTTTTTTTTGGTTTATGTATTTCTAGCAACAAGGAACAATGGTAGCTGCAAAAAATTTTGATGCAAATCGTGATGCTGATGCATTACGAAAAGCAATGAAAGGATGGGGTACAGATGAAAAAATATTAATAGATATTTTAGGTAATCGAAATATAGCTCAACGATTAGAAATAAAAACTGCATTTAAAAATAAACATAATCATGTAAGTTATTTATTAGATTTGATTCTTGGTTTTTTGTGTTGTTTTTAATTATAAAAATAAATATTAATAGGATTTAGTATCTGATTTAAAATCTGAAACATCTGGAAATTTTTCGAAATTACTTGAACAATTAATGTTAGATCCAGTTGAACTTGATTGTTTTGAATTAAAACAAGCTGTTAAAGGTGCTGGAACAGATGAAGAAGCATTAATTGAAATTTTAGCAAGTCGTAGTAATGAAAGAATAAGATCAATTAATGAAACATATGTTAAAAGTAAGATGACGTCAATTTGAAATTTAAGCAAAATTTTTTTTTTATCATAATTGGATAGAACTCTTTGAATTCTCTCGAAAAATATTGTTTTGCACATAATCCAATACTTTAGTGAACACTGGTACCAGTGTGCATTAACTATACTGGCGAGGGAACATTCCTAAGTGTCTGATGTTTTTTTTTTGATCGAGATTGTACTTAAATGATACGCTATGATGAACAGCTTCAAAGTCTAAGACGATTCGATTGTGTGAACCTTTGTTCTTGAGACATCGAAGTTTTACTGAATATGTTAATTAAAACCTGTGATTCTTTCAGGTCATCAGGAAAATTGAATTTCGAGGTTCCACTTAAAATTTTGCATAAATAAAAACTGTCAATGATACTAGCTCACTATGAAAGTTTCACTGATTTTTATGCTTCGCATTTGGAGATATCAATATATAAAGAATGATTATCTTTTTTTATTAGAATTTTTTCATCATTCGTATGTCAAAGTGAGATATACAAAAAAAACCAGTGAAACCTTCGTAATGAACGAATATCATTGAGAGTTTTATTTGTGTTAAGTTTCAAGTTGAAACTTGAAATTTGATTTTCATGATAACCTGACGAGGACCACAGGTTTTGGTTAAAAAGTCCAGTAGAAAATTTCATATTTTAATTTTTATAGACTTTTTAAACATAAGTTTCACTAGAAAAATTTTGTTCGATGATGTAAAACATAATATTTTTAAAAGTAATTCAACGAGCTGTTTCCAACTATGACAAAAAGAATGTTACTCAAACTTGACATTAAAAAGAAAAGTTTATTTTATTTTATTTTTTGTTTAATAGTGCATTCAAAACCATTAGAAAAAGATGTTAAATCAGATACAAGTGGAAATTTTCGTTTTTTACTTGTATCACTTCTACAAGGAAATCGACCTGAAACAACTGAAGTTAATGTTAATCAAGCTAAAAAAGATGCACAATCATTAATTGATGCTGGTTCTGACAAATTTGGAACTGATGAAGCAAAATTTAATACTTTATATTGTAATAGAAGTGATTCACAGTTAAAAGTTATATTTAAACAAATTGCTGAATTAACTGGAAAATCAATTGGTAAGACGAAACGAAAAAAGAGTTATCATTTTTTTTTTTTTTTTTGTAAATTAGAGGAAATGGTCAAGAAAGAAACAGGAGGTGATCTTCAAAATGGTATTTTAGCTGTTATACGATGTATACAAAGTCGTCCACAGTTTTTTGCTGAACGATTACATAATGCTATGAAAGTAATAAGAAAATTCTTTTTTTTTGTTTTAGATAAATGAATTTTGTTTTATTTCAAAATATAATATAGGGTTTGGGTACAAAAGAATCAACATTAAATCGAATAATAATAACACGTTCAGAAATTGATCTTATTCAAATAAAAAAAACATATAAGAATTTATTTAATCATGAATTAGAACAAGATGTTAGTTCAGATACAAGTGGAGATTATAAAAAATTACTTTTAGAAATACTTAAAGATCCATCTCAACGTAATTAAAATATTATTTACATTTATATGTATCTATTGTTTTTTTTGTTGTAATTTTGAAATCCATTTTTACTCTATAAAAATTAATTTGATTGAAATTCTTTTAATATTAAACATATCTTCCATTGAAACTTTATTTTTAATTATTTGTCTACTTTCATTTTATTGTTTACTGTTCTGTTTATTCTAGTAGATAATCTTTGAAAAAAGATATATATATATATGGTTTATTTTAAATTACACTAAACAATTAGTAAAAGCTTTTCTTTATGGCAAATAAATATTTGCTTTGTAGCTTCAGTGGTTCTGCTTAAAAAAGATCTTTGCTTGTATAATTTGAATAAATAAATGTATTTATTGGCTACAGGATTTTTTTTTCTATGATATACGTAAGTTGATTTGATATAGAAGTTAACACATTTAGAATGGAATTTCAATGTATATTATTTTTTAAAATTTTTGGCTTTTGTCGCAATATCTGAAGGTAGACAAGCAACTATAGCTCAAGTACAAGTTAATTTTGGTTTCTTTTCTTTGATACAAAGCATCTAATTAAAATCAAAATAGGAATTTGGAGAGTCTATGATTTCTTCTATTGGTCCAATAATGCTGCATGGGAGTGCACTTTTAACAGTATTATCTAAAAGAGCATAAAATTTAGAACAAAGTGAAGGGCCACCGCGTTTTTTACGACCTTCAATTGCCAAATTACGAGCATCACAGAAGAAACTCTAAAAAAAACCCACACCCACGGCATGTTCTTGAACCTGAGAACTGCTGCGGTGAGTCTTTTAGAAAGTCCAACTATGAAGCCTTGATTGATGATGTATCTAATAGAGAACTTTATTGGCTATCGAAATCTCTATTTGGATTTGAGTAAGGTATTTGACATCAAAGAAAAAAGTCAATTATACCTTGTTCTTATAATTTTCAACAGTATTGTATTTTGACATATTGAATGCGATTTGATTTTACAAAGCTATCGAAAATATGTTTTCATGAGGTAGAGCTCAAACATAAAGAAAAATAAAAATGGATTTTTATATCAAATAAAAGCCCGTCGAACATGGTACTATAACTGTTGACTCATTGAATGATAATGTGCTATAGAATCATGAAAATCTTTTTTGTCTAAGGTCAAAATATTGAAAAATTCCAAATTGAGCTATGATGTTTTTTCAGTAGTATGACATCTTCTAGCATTATTTATTTGTCAAATTAAAAATCTTTTCTAGAAACTATGAATGACTACGCATTATTTATATATATATATATATTATAATATGACTCGTCAATGAGTCCCATTGTTGTTGGAAAAAATAGAAATGATACTATATATTGTATAGCAACGAAACGCTAGTAATTATGATTCATAACACATTGATTTGTTTTTTTGTTTTTTTATATTAGAACAGAAAAAATACATCCATTATCACACTTAACCATGAAAAAATACTTATGCCATTAAAAGAGTAGTTACTGCGTGTATGTCAACAAAAACAAAACAATAATTATGAATCATAGAATAGATATTTTTACAATACATTTATTCAATAACAAGTTGCGCTCTTGTGTAAGATAATTCAATAAGATTTATATTGTCTCATTCCTATTCTTCTCGATCAATGATTTATTCTGACATGCAATTTCCTTGTCTTAAGAATAAAGATAGATTTTTTTCCGTTGTAAATTTAATATGTCGATCGTTTGATGTTGAAACGATCAAAGATATTTTTTTTTTTTGCAAAAAGAAAAGTGAATTCTTATGAATTTTTATAGACTCGGATATTTCTTGGCTTTCGAGCAAATTAAAGACTTAAATATAACGAGTGGTCCGAACACTTTGTTTTCCGTTTTTTCAAAAAAAAATATTCTAAACTCATTCGATAGGGAAATTTTTTGCTCTACAAAATTGTCGACTTTGTCCTTCAATTAAGTTTCTCTTGTCGTAGAAAAAGATTGACGCCAGTCAGTCATTGAACTAAGATTGTCAGAAAATTTTAAAAAAAGTATGTTTAAATAGAAATTCTACAGAAATATGCTGCACTTCGCAGTTTCTAACTTTTAAAAACAAGATAACATCGGGTGTTAGCTCCAAGGCTTTTGCATCTGGATGACATCATTAATAGCCTTGAGAAGATCTTGGAAGTATAGTACATAAAATTTTCTATCTATTGTTCAGATAAAATGAAAAATCTTTTTCTTTGTTTATATTTTTTGATCGTGTATCTCAGAATTCTTGAAGGAGCCAACTGTCTTTCTTTTTGCTTGAAAGATTCTAGAGAATTTTGAATTGCTAAATGAACTATTTTTTTTTACTCTTGTTAGTTGAATGTCTCCCGCAAAACATCACGATATAGGATTGAAAATATTTCATTTGATTTGAATGTCCCTGGGCCATGATCGATTTTTGAAAGAGTGGATTTTAAAAAAACAAAACGAAGTTGTAGAATGAAAAATTCTCGATTAAATGAGCTTAGAGTGCTGTCCTTGAACGATGTTTTCATTCTTCAAAAACTAAATTATTCTATTATTTATGCACCACTCGGCAGATATAGACGGAAATAAAGTATTGTATTTATTTTTACAGCAAAAAAAAAAGATTTCATTATTTATTATGGAATGTAAGAAAATTAAATTTATAAATCATTCAGTCGATTGAAAATCTATTCCAAGTTTTTCTTGTTGTTTTAATTTTTCTTGTGCTTCATTTTGTAATGTCTCTAACTAAAATAAATAAATAAAAATTGAATAATATCTCTCAAAAAAAAAAAATAAATAAATATATGAACAAACCTTTTCTAATGTTAAAGATTTTAATGGCATAATTTTTGGTTTTGATATAACATATTTAAGTTGTTCATCAAAATAAAGTAAACCTTGTATTGGTAAATATTCATCAATATGTGTTGTCCGATTATCAGACATCTAGAATTTAATAAATTTATTTTCCTTTATTAATTCATCAATATGACGACAAAAATTCATATTAAATAAAAAGATTTTTTTTTTAATATTTATATAAAGTTGTTAGTGTTTATTTTTTATTTATTTTCTTTTAAGATTGCAAAAATAGACTGACTAAATGACCCTAACGATTTTCACAGGATAAGAAAATGCATAGCTCGAGTAATGCGCACAGGCCAACTAAAAGAAAAACATTACAATCAACTTGAATATTCTAAAATAATTATGCGTACATTTATGTATTCTTCGCTATACAAGAAAAAGGAAAAAGAAAAAGAAAAATTTAACTTTTCCATTTAAGAATTCTTCTTTCAGCAACAAATTCTCCTCGTGGTGATTTTATATTAGGTTCAAGTGTAGCCAGATAAACTGGAGTATCAGCACCTTGTTCTGGTGTACCTGCACCTCTTCTTGATGTCATATCGGTATTAACATAGCCAGGACAACAAGCATTTACAACAATGTCTTTATCTGATTTTTCATCAAAAACTCGCTGTTGAATCATTGTTGCAGCTGTTAAAGCAATTTTACTCATACCATAAGATGAATTTGGATAGCCATCATCTTGATGAGAATTTTGTTTTGCTTTTCTATAGAGAAAAAAAAGAAAGAGAAAGTAAATTTTGAAATTATAATATTAGTTCAAAAGTATAAGACCAATGTATTTTTAATTTTTTTTTTCTATGATATCAAATGTTTAACTCAAATTTAAATAGCAGATGAGTTTCCTATGTTGAAATTTCATAGATGCATTACAAAAGAAAGATTTCTAGAAAATCCAAAATGGCGATTTTCAAGACATCGAAGACTGTGTGGAAATTAGCTTTTAAGAGTACTGCCTTAAATGGCATAAAATTCTGAACAAAATGAAGGATTGTCACATTTCCGACGACCTTTCCTTGAAAAGTTATAAGCATCACAAAGTGAAATTTATCATAGCATTGTTAAAAACGCATTTTTTTTTGTAATACTTATAAGTTTTTAGGTGAAGATGGTCGTAGAAAATGCAACAATCCCCAAGGAGAAAAAAGCTGATTGCAATTAAAGTAATCAGGGCATTAGTTCCTCACTGCAGCATGATTGTCATTGTGCTGAATGATGGAAATTAAAAGTAGTATCAGATGCAACCAGAGTGCATTATCTCATAATCAAAAAACAAAAAGAAATTATTTACAAGCATTAGCAATCATTAGTAATCATTGGTAATCTTAGCTAGCAGAATATCAGCTTTCCCTTCTGAACATTAGACTTTGTCAAAATCATGATTGTCATCCTGTTTAGTGATGACAATGAGAAGTGTATTCAGAAACAATCTGAATTCTTTATCTGATGATGAAAAAATAGAGAGCAATCAAAGACAATCATTGACAATCAGCTTTTTCTCCCTTGACAATCCCTCATTTTTATTCAGAATTTTGTGCTCTTTAAGATGATATTCTCGAAAAAAAAAAAATAAATTTCGGTATGGGATGCAGTTAATAGAGAAACCCATCGACCATTTAATTATATGGTTGATATCGTAGAAAAAAAATTTGAAAATATGTTGGTCTTATATATTTTATCAGAACTGTAAAGGGCACCATTGGATAAGGTCGTAAATCTGTTATTCCCGAGGTTTCATTGTCAATAAGATGGAAAGATAGAGTGTGAAATTCTGCACATTTCTCTTTTTTCTTATTTTTGTTTTGGTTGAATGCAAAAAAAAAACCAATTTTTCGAGGACTCAGTTGTTTCAGAGGATGTATTACTTTTAGATATTTTACTTAATAACTATAATGCCTATGATCTTTTCTTTTATGAATCTAATAAGAAAAGCAAAAGCGTAGGTCGATACAATTTTTTATCCTCTACAAAACTATATAATAATCATGTTTATCATTAACTTATGTTTTAGATTATGTAGGATTATGCAGATGTGATATTGTACTCATTCAACTCTGCATAAATTAAGAGGAAATTAAAGTAAATATGATTAGTATGTCATTTGGCAAAGCATAATAAACTGCGTCGCCATCTACGCTTTTATTGTTCTTATTAGATTCATACAAGAAAAAATTATAGGCATCATAGTTATTAATCGAAACATCCAAAGGCAATACACTACTCTTGAAAAATTTTTTTTTATTTGCATTCAATTAAAAAGACAGAAGTGTGTAGAATTTCATGTTCTATCCTTCTAACCTATTGAAAGTGAAATCTACACATATGTCAGATTTACGAACTTATCAGATGGTGTTCTTTTAAAAAATATTTGTCTTTTCTTTTTTTTTCGGAAGATTTTACTTTATGAAATCGTTAAGAATATCGGATACAGATTCAATTGTTGCTGTAGGTGCAATTAGATTTTGACGTATTTCCGGATTTTTTATCGAATCAAGCATTCCAGCTCGACTTGAGATATTGACAATACTATAAAAACAATGTTTTTTTGTAATTATGATTAAATATATTAAAAGAAAAAAAAAAGAATGTAACAAGACAACGAACCGTGCATGATCTCGTAGAAGTGGAAATAAAGCATTACAAACATTAATCGTACCAAAAAAATTCGTATGAGCTGTTATTTCAGCTTGATCACCAAATGGAGTAATATCATTTGACTATTAAAAAAAAAAGATTATTCTTAACTAACTCATAAATCACATTTTAATTACTTTAAAAGCTATAGCTGCATTATTTATGAGAATATCTAATCCACCATGAGTTTTTTTAATATGTTCAGCAAGTCGATGAATACTTTCAACATTTGTTATATCTAATTGATGAAATTTTACTTTTTTTTCACTCTCTGGATTTGTTGTTTGAAGTTGTTTAACTGCTTTTAAACCGAGTTCTTCATCACGTGCTAAACAAAATAGAAATTATTACGATTACACTGTGTAAACAGATATTCAAATAAACATAAAAAATGATTATCCAATCAAGGTCAGATCAATCGTAGAAACCTTAAAAATTCATATAAACTTATCATTTAATTATCAATTTCAACCATTGAAATGTTTTGTCAATGTCATCAAAAAAAGGTCAAATTCAGTGCAAATTTTACATGCATTAACGAATCGTTTAAAGAATAACAGAACAGGAAAGTCAATTTTATTTTGACTCCTACGTCATAAGGTTGCATGTGAATTTTATCATCTATACAATACCAAACAAATCTATTTTACACAATCAATTAAAATCTATCAAGGACAAAATTAATAATAAGAAATATCGATAATATTAATCATTCTCTCTCTATATCTATCATATTAACAAAAAAAAAAATATTGAATTTACTTACCAGTTAAATAAATAATCCCATCGAACATCGAACAAAGTTTATCTACAATTGCGTAACCTATGCCTCTATTTGCTCCAGTAACCTTAAATTAAAAAGACAAAGCAAATCAAATTTCTAATACAAAAAAAAATCTGTTATCTCTACTTACTACAGCTACTTTTTTGTTCATTTCGTTTTATAAATTTTTTCGTTGTTTAAAAAAAAGGAAAACTTTAATTAATCTAAAATTATACATCAATATTTTTATCAGATAAAAAGTTTGACTAGATTAAATGGAATGCATTAAAATGAGAATAAAATATTGCACGTAAAACATACATAGATAGATATATATATATCAGCCATTTCCATTATAGTTACGAAAAAAAAAAAGGCAAGACTGTCTGAAATTTTTAAATATTCCCATTACCATTTTTCTTCTTGACAATTTTCATTAAAATATTTTCCTGTTGGTCCATCATCAGGTAATGTTGCTAAGAAAACAGTTGATTTTGCACCAATTTCAACTGAATGACCATGAAAATTTGTCAATTCTGTTGCTGTTAAACCAGGTGTACATGTATTAACTTTTATATTTGTATTTTTTAATTCTTGTGCTAATTGATATGTAAACATATTTAATGATGCTTTTGATGCACTATATGCTAAATGAAAATATGATTGTTTACATGTTTCATGAAAATAAATTGAACCAAGTGCACTTGTAACATTAACAATACGTCCTGATAATGATTTTCGAATTAATGGTAAAAATGATTTTGTTACAAAAAATGCACCAAAAAAATTAACATTAAAATTATCTTGAAATATATCTAAAGTTAATTGACTTGGACGTGGTTCTTTAATATAAATACCACTATTATTAATAAGTATATCTAAATAACCATATTTATTTGTAATTTCATTAACAGCTGCATCAATTGATGTTTGATTAGTAACATCAATTTGAATTAATGATACAGAAAGATTTTCAGATAGAAGTTGTTCAACAGCTTTTTTTCCTCGTTGTTCATCACGAGAACCAAGTAATACTTGAAAACCCTTTTGTGCCAGCTGGCGTGCAACTTCAAAACCAATTCCTTTATTAGCACCAGTAATTAAAACAATTTTTTTATTATCATTTGTTGCCATTGAATTTATTTTTCTAAACTTACTCACAAACTACGAAATCTTCGAAAAATAATCGATTGACAATGGGAGGTGAGAGAATGAATGAATTACAAAAATTATTTATGTTGTCTGTTACTCTTTCATTGATTGGTTGAAAACGGACGAATTAAAATATCATTTTTTCTTTTCTTCTTGTTTGTGTTTATTTCTTTTTGTTTTCTTTTTCTATTGTGATTATATATTTAAATTTTCCTCTTTCTTCTAAGAAATACGATCATGTTTTTTTTCTTTTGTTTTATTCAATTTTCTTCTTTAATAATAGATATTTTTAATTAGTAATCGAAATTTAAATAAATGGCTGCAGCGGACTCAGCCCCTATGAATATTGATGATGCAGATACACCAGGCAGTTCATCAACAAGTGATACAACTGTCGGACAACGTAAACGTTTTGAAGTTAAAAAATGGAATGCTGTGACATTATGGGCATGGGATATTGTTGTTGATAATTGTGCAATATGTCGTAATCATATTATGGATCTTTGTATTGAATGTCAAGCAAATCAAGCTGCAGCAACAACTGAAGAATGTACTGTTGCTTGGGGTGTATGTAATCATGTATGTATTAATAAATTTAATTCATATTTGAATATTTTATTTTGTGTATTATTATTATTATTAGGCATTTCATTTTCATTGTATATCACGTTGGCTTAAAACACGTCAAGTATGTCCATTAGATAATCGTGAATGGGAATTTCAAAAATATGGTCGTTAAAAACGAAATATGATGGTGCTTTCTCTCTCTCTCTTTTTTCTTTGAATAAACACTTTTTTTTTTTTATGTAACTCAAACTAAAACAATTTATTATTTCATTTCTTTCTTTAGATATAAATATGTTTATTTTTTGTTTTTTATTAACCCATTCTACTAATTCTGACATCTTGTACGATTCGTATGTAATAAAATCGTCAGTGGCACTTCAAAGAAGAAATTCTTTGTAACAAATTGACGATTTTGCTGTTACAACACGGAAAGTTTAATATATTACGAGAAGATTACAAAAAAAAACTCGTGTCTACCTGAACATAATGTTAATAATTTGCCAGATGTCGTACCAATTGAATGGTTATCATTATTCCATGCAGAGACAAAATTGGGATGAACCATAAAATCCAATTGATTATATTAAATATGATAAGACATAGAATAGACAAAAAAAAAAACAATTATTTTGATTATTAATTTTACCTTTAATATTTATTTTAGCTACTTATAGTTTATGCGTAATTGAATTTATAAATTCAATATTTCGTTTACCTTAGATTTAAACCTTGTCGTATACATTATTCCTTTAAAAAAGAAATAATCAAATAAGGATTAGTTATGAGATAGACAAAAAAGAAAAGATTTTTTTGTGTGTCAACTACAGATGTGAAATATGATCTATGTCAATTTGATAGTATTTCTTGATGAAAAAAAAATTTATATACTAAATTTAAATTATTATTTCTAGTTAGGTAATTCAAATATTATTCTCCTGATAGTAGGGCAAAGGTGAGAGGGGTGATGGTTATGTCTATATCGTATTCCGGTGCATTTCTAATTGATTTTTGATTGCTAGAAATTCTAGTAAAGTGCCGTCGGAGAAAACATGTTGGGAGTGCACATGCGTCACGCAAACATCTGTCTAGGGAACAACTCATGGATTTTTTTTTCTTCATTAAACATTATCCTAATATTGATTGACGAATAGTATTATCATTTATAGCAAGAACCATCTTTCTCTCTTTTTTTTTCGTTCTTCCAATTTCTTTTTTTTTTATTCTCCCTACTTCTATTTTTTTTAATGTAGTAAAACATTGTTTTCCTGTGTTCTACTGTATGCTTAAGCGAACAAGTGTCTCTACAAACGTCTGTCGCACACCACCATAATCATCCTTCTCTTACTAGAGACAGAATAGAAAAACTGATACTCTTATGTATATTTCTGTCAGTCAGGAGATCTTTTTTTTTTCTTTATTCTGTTTTGCATTTTATTTGGCTTGCATCGAAAATAATTAATACAGACATATGCATCATTATTATTTATGTTTTAGATCTAATGATTAGTATCACATATAATGTGTGAACAAACAAAACGTTATTTTTCTCCACGTCTTGTTGATTATGTGATTATAGTTGGTTGTCGACATCCAAATAAATATAATCATGTAACACAAACACCTGAATTACTTCGTCGTTATCCATTAGAAGATCATAAAGATTTTGCATTACCACCAGATGTTATTTTTTTTTGTCAACCTGAAGGTTGTATTAATACAGGTCATCAACGTACAGCATTTCGTCAATTAACATCATTTGTATTTACATTAACCGAAAAAGATTCTAATCGACAACGTTTTGGTATATGTGTAAATTTTTATCGACATTTTTCTCGACGTACATGTTCAATACATAATCAAAATCAAGAAAAAATTAATCAAACTAATTCATCTGATGATACAACTCATTTAACATCAATAACTAATAATGATGAAGTAGATAATAAAGAACATAAACGTAAACGACGTTTAAGAAATAATACATTAACATCTATTTGTCTTATAAGTCATCATCCATTTTTTACACGTTTTCGAGAATGTCTTGTAACATTAAAAACAATAATTGATGCTTGTAATGAACGATCAAGTGCAAAACGCACAGGTGCATCAAAAGGAATGTCTAGGTTAGAATGGCAAAAAAAGAAAAGATTTTATTTATAATCTATATTCATATATATATATTTTTTGTTTTTAATAGAGAAACAGTTTGGGGTGTATTAACAGGTCAAGCATGTGAATGTACATCGAATTTAGTTGGTCATGAAGTACGAGAAATTGAAACATGGATGTTACGTTTACTAAGTGCACCAGTTTCTATACCAGGAAAAACAAAAATTTTGGTAAAAAAAATAAAATAGTTTTTTTTTTTTTTTTGAAATTTTATTTTATTTAGATTGAAACATTACCGAATGAACCACCAATGTTATTTGCTTTACCTGATCATACAAGATTTTCACTTGTAGATTTTCCTCTTCATCTACCTCTTGAATTACTTGGTGTAGATTTATGTATACGAGTTTTAACATTAATCATGTTAGAAAATAAGGTAATATCAGAAAGTTAATTATTCATAAATAAGAACAAATTTTTATTCCATACATATTCAAACAATTTTCACATCAATATTTGCAGCTCAGAAAAAAATGTTGTGTTTTTCGAAAATTTACAAACATTATGATTTACAGTTTTGAGACACTCAGAACCTAGCATAAAAGTTCACTAAAACATAATCTTTTAAGTTTAGTTTGAATAGAAATGATTTGTACGTGATACTGAATGCTTATGATGAAAATATAACTCTGTATAAGTCTAATTTTGTTTGTCTTCGATCGAGTTTCAAGAAAAAAAATCTCTGTGTTATCATGCTTGATTGAAATAACCTTCACGGTATATCATGAGAAAGAACTCCATTAATTGCACTCAGAAACACTCGTAGATATGTTTTATGTTTTTCTAATAATCAGAAAACAAACTCCCTAGTTGAACAAGCGCAATATTTATTCGGCCACTTTTTATATGAAATCTTCTAATATAATTTTGTAGAGAATCAAAGGAGAATGTTTTGAGGCTATGCAAAAGTTTCTATAATGGAAGCTGATCAAGAAAAACACGAAAATGCAAATTGTACTATTATTTATGGACCATCTGTTACAAGACAAAACAAAAAACAATTTTTTGTTTTCTAAAATTAGGTTGTATTTCAATCTCGTGATTATAATGCATTGACCATGAGCGTTTTGGCATTTGTTGCATTACTTTATCCACTTGAATATATGTTTCCTGTTATACCATTATTACCAACATGTATGACGGGTGCCGAACAAGTTAGTAGAAAAAAAAAAATATGATTTTTATAACACAAATAAAATTTTTTTTTTTTTCTAAATGTATTATAGCTTTTACTTATTCCAACACCGTTTATAATTGGTGTACCAGCAAGTTTTTTTCCTTATAAAGGAATGCTAATAAAAAAACTTGATGATATATGGATTGTTGATCTTGATGCAAATCAAGTTTGTATCTTTATTTTTCATTCAATCTCAAATTTAATTAGATTGAGAAATAATTTATTTAATTGTTTCTGTTGAAATGAAATTTTTTATTATTTGTCCACTATACATTTAGATGTTTATTAGAGGAAGAGCCCATTGAGTTCGAGTTCGAAAATTTTAGACCCGATGCTGTCAAGCATTTAAATCAGTAAGTTTAGATATGCTGTTAACGATATTTGTGTTTAATAAAAGTGATTCAATGTTAATTTCTTTACATTCCTAATGTGATGTATAGATTCCCTTGACAGAAAATTATTGTTAATAAGCTGTTTCAACATTTATAAGTATACGGCAGAGATGTGTATCACTCACACTACCGAAGAAAATTTGAAGCACGGTGGCTGGACGGGCTGCTCCGCCCCATGTCTCTTCTTATTTGTTCGCCGAGCGACCACGCCTTAATCATACCAATTATTAAACTCTATCGTTAGAATTTTTAAGAAAGAATGTATATTAAACGCTGAATTTATGACATATCGTTTGTTAAGTTTATAAATAAATCACTATTGGCAAACGATAATTACATAAGACGAGTGTCATAGATTTATAAAATGAGTTATGACGTTTTAAAATAATATTAATTGTAAAGATTTGCGGCCACTCTATGATCATAGCCTTAAGACATAATAAATATCTTTTATTATATCTAAAACCAAATAATTATAATTTTATTGTTTATCTTAGATTATACAACCACGACAAGCTGAACCATTTTTTGACATTCCAGAATTTGAATATAATATTTTAAGTAATCATTTAAAACAAGCTTTAAGTAGTATGTCAATAGATCCTGAACCAATACAAAGTTTTGATGCTATGCTCAATGATAAATCATATTTAATGACAGCAAATAATTCTACATCATTACCATCAACAGCATATAATCCATTTATATATGGTAATGATGTTGATTCAGTTGATATAGCTACACGTGTTGCTATGGTTCGATTTTTTAATTCACCAAATATACTTGGCAATTTTAATGAACATACACGAACATTAAGATTACATCCACGAGCTGTTGTAGCTTTTCAATATAGTAGTTTTATAAGATCACGACCAGTTAAATCAGCATTTATTATTCGTTTAGCAAAAACACAAGTAACATAAAAAAAGCATCAATTTTATTCAAAAAATTTTTATTTACTAATTTTTAGGCTGTAGAATTTTTTGCTGAATGGTCACTTTGTCCCGATAATGTAGCATTTTTACGTGTACAAACAGGTGTTTATGATCCAGCACTTATTGGTGACAAACCAAAATGGTATAGTCGAAATTTAACATCAATACCATTTAAAATTATTGAAGAAAATAGTACACTTACTCAAGCAGTTCATTCATTTAATACAAAAGTAAATGATATTGAACATACAGAAACAGGTATGAAAAGTTTTTTTTTTTTTTTTTGTTTCAAAAAATCTTTATTTTGAAATTTTTTAGATGAAAGTGGAAGTGATTCTGAAGACGATAGTGCAAGTTCTGATTATACATCATTAAGTGATTTTGTATCGGAAATGATTAATAGTGAAATATGTGGAGAAATTCGAAGTAAACACAAAAAAAAACGAATAAAATTTTTTTGTTTTAAAAAAAAATATTTTAGTTGTTAAAACTTATCCAGAAAATCAAAAAAAAACAGCTTGTGTAGAATATTCAACTGTTTATAATCCACCAGAAGATTTAGAAATACCTGATAGTGGTTCAAATAAAACTCCAAGTCCAAATACAAGTGGAAATGAATCAAGTCAATCAATGAGTGAATCAACAATAAGTTCAAGTTCAAATTCACTTGTTAATTCAAGACTTAATTCACCTTCGAATGATACAAATGATATTATACCTGATCTATCAGGTGCAATACATGATCTTGATTCAAAATCAAGTTCAGCAACAATTACACCTGTTACAAGAAGTTTTCCAAAGTAAAGAAAAAAAACATCAATTTTTAGAAATACAAAAAAAAAACGTTTTTTTTTTTAATTTTTTATTAAGACCACTTTTTGATACAAAAACATTGACGAATGAAGATAATATAGGACAAAGTTCACCTCCAGAAATTCGTGCAAAGAATATATCAATTCAAAGAACTTCTAGTCAACGTGTTCGTACAACGCTACCACGTACCGATAGTCATGATTCAACTGCAAGTGCATTAACAACAAAATCTGGACGTTTGCATAAAGTAGATATATCATATTTGTCCTTCTGTAATACTTATTCTACACATTTTCTGGTTTAATAGAGCGAAATTTCTGTATGAAGAGCATCACCTTTAACAGAATATGACATGACCTAATTTGATCTTGTTTCATTTGAATAAACAAATGTATAATGCATGAAATAGAAAACCTTATAGGAAGAGATTGTCTTTAAGCCAGATATGCCCATCGTGACTAGAGATGTACGAGAGGAGATAATTTGAAGTACACTATTTCAGAATTTATTCATGCTACATCTAAAATAATTTGTCAATACTCGTTTTTCAATTTATTGACGAGGGAAGGTTCCCAAGTGATCCATCACTTTTAAGTCTGGACTATGTGCATTATATAGGCCATAATGAGTTATGAATACCCTGAAAAGAATTCGAGCTCATGACTTATTGCTACCGAGATACAACATTTTTACGATATTTTCTAAGCCCAGTGCCGTGCTTCCCTTTGGAACATAAGAAAAACTGAGTTTGGAATTGCGACTTGAAACTTTGTGTAGTGGTAGACCTCCATGAGAATAGTTTATTGTCAAAGTTTCAGATCTTCTGATTGCTCCTATTCTGGAATAAGAACCTCGAAATCTACCAGTGGGTATGCGTGATGTACAAGCATGCTTTTATCATAACTGTATCCGAGGATAGGAACAATCAAGAAATCTGAAACTTTCACAATAAACTATTCGCATAGAGGTCTGTCACTATACAAAGTATCAAGTCGCAATTCCAAACTCAATTTTCCTTATGTTCCAAAGGGGAGCACGGCACTGGGCTTAGAAAATATCGTAAAAATGCTATATCTCGGTAGCAATAAGCCATGGACTCGATCTTTTTTCAGAGTATCCATAACTCATTATGGCCCACGTAATACACATAGTCCCGACTTAAAAGCCATCGATCACTTGAGGACTTTCCCTCGTTAGTAGACGGCTAGTACTTTTTTTTTTGGATCATTTCTCTTAAATTATGTTCTGATTGAAGCGATTAATAAGATAATTCGCTTAAAATCATAGAATATTTAACAATAATCTTTAGTTTCGATTAAGACAACTTTTTTTCTCGTAGTTCCGGTTCCAGTGACAGATACAAGGACTAAAATTTGATTCCGCACATCTCTAATCGCAACGCTGCGGAGGACATTGTAAAACTGCATGAATTTGCTTAGTAACAGTAGTTGCAGTTCGATAAAATTACAAGAATGAGATCCGGACAGGTTTCTGAATATCATGGTAGCTGCGGCAGGTTTTCTGTCATCTCTACTTGGAGCCAATAAGGAAATAATAAATTGTAAGACCACATAATCTTGTTAGTCAGTCTTTCCGAATCCTTATACTTCATACAGTGAACACTTTGTTTCAATTCTCTAATATTCAGATCATCAGTTTTAATAAAATGAATCCAAAACTAAAGTTTTGAACTTGATGAATTCTCTCGAAATCCGAATATCTAATCCTAATCAATGTAGCATCATATACAATTTTGCATATCTAAATTAATAAAAAAATTTACTCTATTATATTGAATTATTCTATAGACTGACTCAGAGAGTACAACATCTTCTAATCATTCATTACTTCAACAAGTTGGTGATGAAATTAATTCAACAATGGCTGGTCGAGTAGTTACAAATATGGCAAAAATGGCAACAAATAAAATGTCTGAATTACTCGGTAATTTTTTTTTTTTTGTTATCTTAATTTTTCTTTTCTATTTTTTTTCATTCCTAGCATCAACATCTGAAAATCCTCGTCAAGCAAATTCTCCATTAATTCGTGCTAATCGTCCACCACCATTTCCATTTCCAAAACAAAATCGTAAAATAGAAAAACCAAGTCTAGTTAAACATGGCACAACAACATCAAATACTTCAAATATTACACGACAACAAAATGCTGAAGCAAAAGCAAATACTCATAGTGAAAATCAACAATTTCTAAAAGATATTGTTACTAATGTTCTTGATGGACAAGGTATTGGTTGGTTAAAAATAAATCGTGTTAAAAAATTAATGGAAGATGAAAATTATCGAAATTTTGTTCTTAGTCGTCTTAATATAAATCTTGATAAAAAATATTCCGATGAAGATGATCATATTGAAGATATTGTATGTTAATTTTTTTTTTTTGTTTTCATAAATAATTTGCTTAATTTTTATTTTGTTATTATAGAAAATTAATCGAGCTGTTTTTAAAGGTATGACAAATATATTACGAGCTGTTATACAAGGTCTTGAAGTAACATTTGAAAATAATGGTCTTGGTGGTATGGCATCAACATTTCAATTACTTGAAATAGCACATACATATTATTGGATAAAAGATAATAAAACTGATTTAAGTCCAATGTCCGAACGAAATAGTCCTCTTAGCGGTAGTCGAGAAAGTTTATCATCAATTGATCCAAATATTTCATCGAATCCAATATCACATTCAACGATTATTCCAACTCAACAGCAACAACAACAGCAACAACAACAACAACAACAACAACAACAACAACAGCAAAGCAATATAACAAGTCCAAATACAGGACTTGTTGCACAATTAGGTAAATATAAAAATTTCTTTTAGATGAAGGTTAAAAAAAAAAAGAAAGAAATTTCAGGAAGTTTATGGCGCGAATCAAAATTAGCACTTGCACGTAGCTATGCAACAGCTGCACAAGCAAGTATGAATTTTGGAGGCAATGTTGAACTTCGTACTAATCCAAAGCATTCGTTTTCACCTCATGTACCATTTCATTCGACACTAACTGTTAGTTCATCATTATCATCAAATATGAATTCCAATATTCGGCCTATGAATGCAGATCGAATATCGGGTACATTTCATATTGTAAACCTTGTCTTGTTTGTTGTATACCTATATAACTTGTTTTGCATGTGTTTGAAAAATAACATTATTTGATTGATTTTTGTTTTCTTTATTTCGGTCTTTTTTTTTTGTAGATCCGGTCGAGGTCAACGGTGATGAATATCAGAATATAGAAATTTCATCTCAAATGATATCTATTTCAGAAGATGGATCGACGAGCAACATCGATGCCAACAGCCAAAAATCAACAACGAACGATACAAGTAAATTAAAATTTTCATTGTTTTGTGAAATACAATCTAAAAGGAATATTGAAGTATAGAAGTTAGAATTTGTAATTCTCCCTTGCACAGACTGTGACTCGACCCGACAATTAATGAGATTTCAACGTTTATAAAATAATTTTACTTTTCAAAACTGCTGATTACTTACTTTAGCTTGGGTTGCGAAAAGTCGTATCCGTTCAGGACACTTAATGCAACAGACTCTAGTCAAAGACTATCACAAACACCTTAGCAACACTATTACATTTCATTATATTGTATGAACCATCCTATGAAACTTTGTTTTTTGTTATAGCGATAGAAAATTATGTTCGACCTGATTCATTGAATTTTACAAATGACGTGAGTATATCTTATTGAATAAAAATTTGTCTTTTTTTTTTTTTGTTATAAAATATTATTAGTCAACATCGAAAACAAATACAAATATTTCACGTATAAATTCAATAGTAACTGATGAAGAAAATGGAACAGATTCAGGTTCATCTAGTCGACGTCAATCGAAAATAAATCATCATCTTATACGTATATCAAATCAATGGAATGATGATAAATTAAAAAATCGACGATTATCAAATATATCAACAGCTAAAAGTGCTTGTTCTGCTGGATATAGGTATTCAATTATTTATTCTTCATTGAAACAAACAATGAATTATAGAATTTGAATTCAAATGAAAGAGTTCTTTATCTATCAAAAAGTTTTCGAAATCTTTCTATTAAAGAACGATGCATCAGATCTAATAGAAGATCCTTCTTAATTTATCGCAATCTTGGAACTTTAATTAGTACATATCAAAATGTATCTAGTTTTTTAGGATTTCAGCTGAAAAATTTTAAAAGACTGAGATCAGCATTATTTTTACGCTTTTAAAATTCTAAAAATCTCCTTCCGAATTCTCGAAATCGTTTTACTTTTTTGGAGAACTCTTTTAATTAAAAATTATAAAGATAAATGAGATACAATAGAAGATCCCCTGAAAAATTAGTACCCTTGGACATAATACAAAAACCTAGGATCTTCTATTACACGAAGGAGTTTACTATTTTTCCTTGTAGACATCCCGTTTTTTCTGTCACTTAGTTGTTACAAACGCCTGTTTGAATTTCAGAAGCGCTTTTCAAAAATCTTTGATTTTCTAGGTAAGAGCTGTTAGCGGGATTAAAATATGAAACACGATGTAGTTGCTCTTGGTACTCACAGGGAGATTATTTTAATCTATCTATTTCTGACCATATATCAACAAAGTCTTGTGCAGTCGGTGACGGATTCTCAGAATGTTTGTCACGGTCTGTGATAGTGTCCATTAATTACTAACTAATTATTCATCAAGGAGTCAATAATCTGTCACCAATTATTTAATTAATTAGGCATTAGTTAGATATTAACTACATTACTTTGGTATGAAATTCATGGTGAGGAGTTGTTTGTTTAACCAATTTTCTTTCAATGGTTTTTTTTTTGTTATTGTACAATTATACTTGGGTATTTGTTAGAGAATACTATGGACTATCTAATAGTATAATAATATTAGCAGATCATGAAATTGGCTTTGTAAGAGAAATAAATTAAAAGATATGTGGAAAAAAAGTATGACATGAATTTTGTCAATTTTTTAAGTTTTTACAAAGAAAAATAAGATGTTTAGTAACTATTAATTGCTTTAGTTACTAACTGAAGAAATATTGTTTGAGATATTTATGTTTAATAGAAGTTTATTCAATGTTATTGCATCTATTGATAAAAATGAAATTTGGCACCAAAGCATTATAGTTAATTAATTAAAATGTCTGTCACGACCTGTGTAGAAGGTTCAAATTTCTACCCTATATACTTCAATAGTCTTTGTAGATCGTGTTTCACAAAAATTAGAGACAATCTAGCCTACCATAGAGAGTGACCTTTAAAAGAGCGATGCAAATTTTTATAATAGAAGGTCATAGTCTATCGGATGATAATCGAGTTTGATTATAGGTGAAACAAATATTGACAGCTTTGTTACAAGTTTTCAGGCTAGTGTCGAGTGTTAAATATATCTATTGATTTTCAATATCTACTGTATTTTACTATTCCTTATAAAATTTAAAATCTATTTATCGGATCACTTCGATAATGAAGAAAAACATCTTTTTTTTTTCCACTTTCATTTTAAAATATTTCGCATAAATTTTGATACTTGAATATGATAGATAAGTTTTATTTTTCAAGATATCTTTAGATTGATTTTAATATGATCATATCAAGTAAGTATCATAATTGAAATGATTTTGAAGCTAACAATGAATAATAAAACCAAAAAAGAAATATATTTGACTACAATTGTATATATGATCTTAAAAAAAATCGATCAATAATTTTCTTCTGATTGTATATATCTTTCTTCTATAACTTAGATTTCGTAATGGATCAATTTTTCAAGTAGCTGAAAATAATCCATCGGGTGTTAATGATAAACAATATTTATTTGAAGTTCTTATTGGTAGTTCACGTAGTCATTTATGGGATCAAATGCAAGTATGGGAAGATGTTTTTCTTGATGCTGTTGCACAAGAACGTGATATTATTGGTCTTGATCAAGGTCCAGCTGAAATGATGGAACGGTAGAATTTAGTTAAAAATAAAAATCTCAATTAGAAAATTTAAACTTTTTTTTTAGTTATTATTCATTATCAAATGCTGATCGTAAACGTTTAGAATTAGATGAAGATCGTTTATTAGCCGTTATGCTTTATAATTTAATTGCATTTATGATAATGATGCGTGTAAGTAAAGAAGAAATTCGTCGAAAAATTCGTCGAATACTTGGCCGTTGTCATATTGGTTTAACAATGAGTCAACAAGTTAATGAATTACTTGATAGTATTGCAAATTTAGTAAATATTTGCCTAAAAAAAACGAAACATCAAACAATTTCTTGCAATTAAATATGTATATATTCTTTCTTTTTTTTTTTAGAATGGTAATGATGTTGATTTACGTCCAGTAGGTAGTCGATTATTACAAAAACAAAGTTTTACTGTGCATTGGGGAACAGATAATACTGGAGACATGCTTTTTATGGAGGTTAGATAAATTTTTATATGTTTATTAATTGAATTTTGTTTTGTTAGGTTTGGGATGATTGTATTATACTTCGCAGTGTACTTGGCGAAGTTTATGATCGTTGTTGGTTTGAAAAATTAGTTAATATGACATTTTGTCCAAAGACTAAAGTACTTTGTTTATGGCGTAAAGCTGATGGTGAAACACAACTTAATAAATTTTATACAAAACGAGTATAGAAACGAAATAAAAAAAGAAATTTCGAATAAACAAAAAACAAAATTTTATTTGAAATTTTTTAGTGTCGTGATTTATATTTTTCAATAAAAGAAGCTATGGAAAAAGCAGCATCGAGAATGAAAGGTTCATTACCTGGTAAAGAAATAATTTGTATTTAAAAACAAAAAAAAAAAGAAAATAATAACTTCTATTTTCTTGTCAAGGTCAAGAATTGGGTGGTGAATTTCCAATAAGAGATGTTAATACAGGTGAAGGAGGGATTTTACAAGTATGCCTTGAAGGCATTTGTTTAATATTTGAAAATGATAAAGTAAATATTAGCAAAAAAAAAATTTTTTACTAATTATTAATTAATTTTATTTATATGTAGGAATTTATTGAATTACAAAAAATTCGAAAATGTACAACACAAAAAGGAGATATATTTGTACTTGAAGAATTTGGTATTAAGCAGCAAAAAATAAATCGATTTTTTTTTCTTTTATTTTATTTTTTGTAATTTTTTTATTAGATCCAAATACAAAACAAATACTTATTAGAAAATATAAATCATCAACGGTAAGGTTTATTTGTTCGTGTAAATTAGTTGTAATATGATTAAATGTTGTTTTACTTTCAATATTGTCTTGTGCTATATGTTCAGGCGAGTAGTGCCCTGCTTGCTTTTCATCGTGTTGTATCTATTATGGTTGAACGTCGTAAAATAAATTCTGCTAATATTGTATCCAATGTTAATCATCATCATACACTGCAGGCTATCGATGGATTAGGTATTGTTGGTGTTTTATAATGTATTGGGATGTTTTGTTTTTTTTCTATTATCTAAAGCTTATCTTAATATTTATGGTTAAAAAATCAACATAGGAGTTAAAGTTACAACACTACTAAGTCTTTGTTCTAATGCTTCAAAATCACGCAAAAATTAATCTTCTCCTTAACCATTCCTATTGTTACAACAGAGTGATTATTCATTCTAACTGAAAAACCCATTACTGTTACTAATCACTTACTATAAAATAGACTTTCAACAGTTAACATTCTAATAATTATGATTTTTCAAGTTTTTTGAATATATTCAATGCTCGATCGAAAATAAGATTATGGAAGAGTAGGGAAATAAATGTGCAACTCTCTAACAAAAATGCCTTTATAAAATAATGAATTTTTAATGTATTTGAAAAATGAATGTTTCATTTTAAGATTAGTTTTAACTAAATCATGCTATAATAAATCATTTCTTTGTTAATTAATTCTAATTTTAATGTTATTATGATATAAAATATATTGATTTAATTTTAGGCTGATCGTATTTGTTATGCCATTTTATGTGTATTTTCATATTTGGCAGCTGGACATGATCAACAGCAATAATTGCAAAAAAAAAAATTAATTTTATTTCGTTTTAACAAATCGACCATAATGTCGTTGATCTTAATATTTTATTTCTCAATTAAATTTAAACATTTTTCTTTTCCCATTTTATTTTCAAATTATTACAATGCCATTGTCTTCCTTGTGTCATCATTTTTATTTTGTTCTAGTCATATTTGGTTAAACACTTTATTTGTTATTATCAGCAATACAGTACAAACAGATTGAAGATGAATTTATATGATATGTTCGTATATGTATGTGTGTGTGTATTTGTCCTGCCGTTTTGCTTTCATTTCCTCTTCTCCTATAGCAAACATGTTTTATGTATAAAAAAAACAAGAAAAAACAAAAAAAAAATCAGAAGAACTTTTATTTGTTGTTTATTCATTCAAATTTTGTTTGTCTTTTTGTTTTATGTTAATTTCATCTGATGTGTACAAGTGTTCTTTTATTTCATTTTGACCGATTCCCAAAAATATATTCCTGTCTATATATGCAATATACAATATGACTTCATTTATTTATCGAAAATTTATAACTGAATGAAATTAAAATAATATAAGAAAGAAATTACTTGGTAGAAAATTGTATTCGAATTGAAAACATAATGACGAATATATGTATTATTTTTTCGATGGATATTTAATGAGAGACATATGAAAGTCAATGAATATACTTGAAATAAATTTTCAATAGGATAGTTATTCATTCATATTTACGTGTACATATATGTATATATATGTCTTTCTCGTTTTTTCAAAGAATATTATATGAATAAAAAATTAATATATAAAAAATTTGTATTCTGAATTATTCATTGTTTATGTTAAATTACGAAATTCATCATTGTTCATCCAACGCCTTCATATTATTAACAATTCTAGCTCACTTAAATGATTAATCAACTTAGTATACATTAAGTAATTTGTCAACTAGACTAATAAGTATATTTTTTGTAAAAGATGTGTTCGAGTACAATAATGATAAAGCATTTTATGAGAAAAATATTTTTCTTTTACTCCAACAAAAATTTTTTCGAAAGAAAAGTTAAGTATATGAATAAAGTTGTGTTTAGTTTTTTCATTGATGAAATGTGGGCGAAATTTCGTAGAGGTGACAACGATGTCAATGCACCAATCTTATATTCAATTTTTTTCGCATTTTATAAGTGTGAGGGAGTAAAGAAATATTTTGTCATGAAATTTACAAATTGATCTTTCCTTTCATCATCTACTAACTTCATATTCTCTATATATACATAGACATACATTACACTTGAATATTTGACACCATCATTCGTATTTTTTTTATTAATCGTAATGCACGCACTGATATATTCAGTAGTTTTTTTATTCGTTCATCTCTTATGTGGTAAGATAAAGAAATTTATATATGATTTTTTTTATTAGATTCTTTTACTTTGTCTAGTACCAGCAACATCAATTGAAGATGTTAAACCTGTTTCAAAAGCAGCAAGAAAAAATCCTGTTGCATTACCCAGTTATTCAAAATTATTAACCCTTTTGAAAAATCGAGAAACAAAATTTTATGAAAATGATGATGATGATGACGACAACAGTAGCGATCAGAATGATGATGACATATCACGTCAAAGGAAGCAATTAACATCAGCAAATCGGCTATTTTTTCTTTTTCCTATCCAACGTGCTACTCGTCGAAGTCGACCATTATATACCTATGGACAAAAATCTCATTGGGATACGTTTTTTGGATAAAAATAAATAATTCAGCCATATAATATATTTGCTTTTCTAGTTTGCATCTAGTCATACAAACAATATATAATACATGGACTAGTTTTAGTCAAATCTATCTTTTCAAAAAGATTTCATTGGTTTTATTCTTTTTAATTTTTGGGTTTTTTCTTTCTTGCTTTTTAAATATTTGCATTTGAAAAAAAAAGTGAAAGCTTCAAGAAGGTTTTGAATAACAATGATCAACAATTGTAATGATTACATACGATGGAGTATGCTATCTTATTTACTTATGCTCTTTCTCACTCAAGACGAAGGACTTCCTTCTCTATAACAAACATGAAATCGGTTTTTTTTTTGAAAAAATATCCCGCATTTAATGTCGTGCTTGAATTGGTCTCGAAAACAAAATACAAATTATTCATTATAAAATAAATAATTTTAGCACACTGCTCGATTTAATCTAAAAGAAATAACAAAATATATTTTTTAAATAAATAAGGAGGGGGAAAAAAGTTCGCAACATTTTTCATATCGATATAAATAGAATAATTTCTGCGAACTTTTCTCAATAAATTATACCACAAAATGCAGCGTGAAAAGCTCTATCATGTACAAAGAACAATTATAAAAAGACGAAATAAGAAAGAGCGAATCCATCTTTTACCAAAAAACTACAGGGAGGCCCAAAACTCATGCACCCCAAAGAAAATTGAATATCTCCATTATGACTCAAGCAAACGAGCTGATTTTTTTTTATCAATGATAGAAGCATGTTCAATGTTTGTATCCACAAGGACATGCCTATACAAAAGCATGTTACATGTGATATAATCACATTCTGGAGATAAGAGATAGGCTAATAAACATCTATACCAAAGAGGAAGATATAACTACTCCTTTGGTTTCATGTTGTATTCAATTGCTTTGTTTTGTTGTTTTTTTTACTTGCTCGCAAAAGAATCGTATCACACTTGGAACTTTCGTTTGCTCTTAAGATATAGGGAAGTCGAAATTAAAGTAAGGTTTTCTTTTTCTCTCAACTGTGGGTTTGTGAGTGGGTTTTCTATGGATGAAGAGAAGATGCATTCCACATCTGGACCCATCCAAGTCGAATCTATTGAAGAAATTGCCGTGAAAAAAAAGCTAGGGTATATTGTGTTGCTGATCGGTTTATGATAAGAATGTAAACCCCTCCCCGTATTAGAAGACCCCGGGTCTTCTATTATGTCTCGTCGTAAAAATTTCTCAGAGGGGTCTTCTATTATGTCCTAGGATTTTTAGCAACTATTAACTAGATGTGGTTTTCCAGAAAGTCAGGGTGATTTTCGGGATTCTTATAGGGATTTTCACGGTTTTGAGAGTTGAGGACAGGGTTGCCAGATCTTCCGATTTGGCAGGGAAATTCCGATTTTTGAAACTTTTCCGACGACTTTACGACATTCCGATTTTTTCCGATCACCTCCCAATTATCTAATTTTTCTTCAGTTTTTGGATTTTCTTCTAAATTCAACTTCTTAGAGTATTCTAGAACCCTTATGATGACTCGCTACTGCATATGTAATTGTGATCTATTTCAATGTAATTATTCGGTGCTGTAGCGTCATGAACTCAACAAAGCACACTTTAGTGCTCCGAAACCTCATCCTCAAAAAAATTAGGATGTTTTACAGACAACAAAGATTTAGTTTTCTGTCGCGATGAACAAATTTTCTCTATTCGTTTACCATACCAATAATTAATAACATTTTCCTTTTTGAGTTTTTTTGTTTCATTGCAAACATAATAAAACTAATCTAATCGTGTGAGGTACTCAATTGACTGTTGCTGAAATGAAAACCAGAATGAGTTCTGTTTACTCCTGTAGATATTTTTATGAATATCTGTTATCTCAACCTGGTGTTTTGAAGAACACTCAAGCTAATAAGGAAGTATGAACAAAAACGGACGTTATAAAGAACAAATCTTGGTTCCTTTTGCGCAAGTTTTGTGAAATGCATGTGTGTATGAATTTTCAATATTGACTCTTTTCTTCCGTCAAGTTGCTTGTAAGATTTTTGAAAAAAAACACTGTGGCCCTGTTTAAATGACTTATGTGGATTTCTTAATAATCAGTAAATTGTGTATGTAAATTTACATTTTCTTTAATTCTTTATGAAATATTTTTTAAGATATTGCTTCGAAAAATTAATAGAAGCAAGATAAAGGATATTGCCTATTAGAAAAAAACAGACTAGCTATTTGAGCATTAAAAAAGTACTTTCCGACTTTTTCTGATTTTGAGAATAAAAATTCCGACATTTTTCCGATTTTCAGAAAAAATTTTCCGAGTTTTTAATTTTCGACCTGGCAACCCTGGTTGAGGGACACATTTAGACTCACTTTCTAAAGATTCCCAGCAGAAAAACCTAAAAGCTGTGCACTTCTGGACGGAAATTCCCTAATTAAAGTTCCTAATTGACAAAAATTAATTAATTAAAGGGGGTCTTCTAATACGCCCAATGAACTTTTTGTCTAGGGGGGTCTTCTATTATGGGGGGGTCTTCTAATGCGGGGAGGGGTTTAGTGACAATCAGTCTTGACTGTTCCATGAGAAGCAAAGGAATATCGATACTTTATACGCATGTTTTGTATCTACAGAAAAAGATAATTTTATTTTACACATCGGACAGGATTGAACCAATACCCGAACAATAGAAATCCGATAGTTCGAATAAAGAAAAATGAAAGTAGTATGTCCAGGATATGTTTGCTATACGCGTAAACTCATAATTTATGTGGACTATTGACGAGAACATCAAAGTAAGATTGATGTACATCAAGGATCTGAGTATCAGTGCCGAACTTGGTCAAATTTTATTGATCTCTCTCGGCTCATTAATTTTTTGGTTCGACTGGAGCCAAATCGAACTCTGGTATCGATCAACTTCTCCTTTCTCTTGAGAAAATCAATTTCTCAATAAGTTTTTCTACTTTTCATTTCGTAGTTGGAAAAAAAGGATATATCCTTAACCTCTTTTCATTCTTGATATTTCGCCGATGTTCCACAGTTGGGATAAGACGATTGTGTGATAGAATTTTTTTTCTTGTTTGTCTTTCTTTTCTTATGTATACAATCTACGATCTTTATACCACCATTGAACCGATAGTGCATTCGATATGCAGCGTTGTCTAATGTCAATAAAGAAATATCGATGAAGTAGAAGAAAAGATCATACGATACATAACTCCTTATTTTATTAACCTTTTCCGCGCTCTCTCATAGAGTTTTTAAATGAAAAAAACAAACATTACAAATGCTGTTTGTATCTGTCAATTGTTCGGGCTACAGATCCACCTCGAAATCAGAAAAATTTTTCGTAATCTGATCCGAGTAGGACACTAGTGGATATAAGTGAATGAAATACACATATGCACACTCTCAACTATAGTTGTGTGCATGGGTCATGCAGTGAAATTAGGGCAGCTAATATCAAATAATGATGAAAATAGAAAATGTTTGCAAAAATTGACCTGATGCATATTTCAGAAAAGTTTTCATTTTTCCACAAGACAACTACAGATGATATCCTTGAATTCTACGTAGTTTAATGGATTCGATCATAGGAAAATTGAAGCAAACTTGCTTCAATGGATTGTTCAAGTCAATCGTGGTGATCAATCCAAGTCTTGAATTAACATTGACTTTGGTTCGGGTGTGGAGTATGAGTGAATGCAGGCGTGGATGTGCGTCTTCTCTTTAACCGTACCCACACTCACACCCCACACTCAAGATAGCTCCTCTTGTTGTGGAGAGTTTCAAAATAGTCTAGCAGCGACTTCATATGCACCTTGCTCGTGCATTCCTCATTCTTATATCAAAGACAAAGGTTAGCGCTGAATCGTTTCATTTATTAATTATTAGGGAGTTGAGAAAAATGAAAATATCACTGATGAAACATTGAAAAATTGTACCAATAGGCAGCATTTCGGAAGCGATTTTTAAAATTATTTCTTCAGTTAATATTACTATTGGCATTACAATAAGATTAGCAGAAAATTATTCATACTTGGTAGAATATGCTCTAGAATATTTAATATTGAAAATAATGCGAGAATTGATCAATGAGTAACAGCGATTTCTTGCCACAACAATTTGAATGAAATGAAGGAAGGAAAAGCGATAGGTTTGCACTTGGTTCTATGGAAAATGCTATTCACTGTAAGCTTCGATCATTTTGATACCACCATGATAAATGGCAGCATATTCTGGGAGTAATTTGTTTCAGCTGTTCTTCTTCATATCAATAGATAGCTTATGTGATCAGGGATGACAGCTTTGTGCTTGGTTGGGATTCAAACTGAGGCCAATGCTTAGATCTTTGTTCGCGTTGAAAAACGTCTTATATTGATATTTAGGAGTGATGTAGATGATGAAACTGCAAAAATCAACTCTGCTATTGATATAGACAAGATTGCGTTGCTAAATCTTTTATCTTTAATAGGTAATAACTAACATAAAGAGAAACATTTCGATATAAATTAATAGAATTATCTAGTTTCCTATTACATAATGTGCTTTTACTCGAATTATTTTCCCATCATTGTTCAATTCAATGTATTCACATGCTGTCATATTTCTAACACTTTTGTATTGAATAATTACTGAGTTAACAGACACGTAGATATTCAATAATTCGAAGTGTAAATCGGGAAATTTAAGCAAGGCTCTTGTAAAATAATCTTCTAAATCTTTCTTATTGGAAATTATTCCATTTGGATCATTGTTGAATTCAACAATAAAGGGCGATGTAAAATCGATTGAGTCTGCGTAATGAAGCATTATTTTGTTGATATCATGAGAATTCCATGATTCGACCCATTCAGTTGCGAAATTCACTGCAAATTCACGTGTAATCATTTGTTTATATGTAGCTGTATGTTTATCTTTATCGTAACGTCCTTCACGTGAGGTATTGCTTCATTTCTTCGTTAATAATATGACAGAGAAAAGATAAGAACGAGTACATGCAGAAATAGAAACACGTAAAAATGCCTCAAAGAGAGCGAAGGATATGAAAACAACGTATAAACACAATGATCGGTAGGTGGCTATACATATTAGTACTGTGTGCTTGGAATAGCCGACGTATTAAATGAACTGGTTGCGAAATTATATGGCGTTAGTTCGAATTCCTCATTGAAAAATTTCCATTCTTTATACTTTCAGCAAAATAAAGGTTCGTGAGACAGAAAAATCTACCCAAACAGAAAAGAAAACGAGAAAACAGTGTTTAAACACTCTAAGTCTAAACTGTTTATACAGTGCGGTATACCTCCAAAAACGCGTTCAAACAGATGAAGTTTAGGTGTTGTTATCGGTTTAAACGCTTGTTCTTTTGAGATATGAAACGGTTTTAACAGTTTAATATGTTCAATTTTAACCTATTTAAACAGTGAACAAATATTCGCTATACATCATTTAACACACACAATTTTGCTGATTATGAAGAAATGCAATTAAACGATACACGTACTTGATCCGAACTCAAACGTAAACTCACACTCGACTCCCTTTTTTATTCCGATGCATCCATCAGGTTCATTCAAGAGTAGAGACGTACATGCTCTTCTTGCACAATTCCAAATGGATAACCGGGTAGGTGACTGCGTGGGTCGATGAGTTTGACTTAGAATCTTCTCTTTATTCTCAATCTGGCCCTCTCTAGAAGATCACAAACATAATAGAATATTGGATTGGATGATTTACTTCAGGAAATGACGATATTTCTCTAAATTGCTGGAGTTTCATTGAGGTGTTTCCGTTGACTTTTGATACTTGTCTAATATCAGCTGGCATGGAGAATGATCTCGTAAAAGTCGCAACATTATCAAGCTTTTTAGTCCGTATCGATTTTTGCGAAGAAGGATCGCGAGGTGTGGGTGCAAAATAGACAGATATCCATCCACACCTCACACTGTTGGATAAATTAAGCGTGTAAATCATCTAAATTTATCAGATTATATTGAATTCATCGCTCTTTCGATCGTTATAATTATTCTTCAAGAGAAACCAAATTATTGGACCACATTTCACTTTACCCTGTCTAAATCAAGTCTCACAACACTTGTAATTTCGAAAAAAAAATATTTTGGCCCACTGTTTCCATCTGATCGAATAATCAGTTAGAGATTAAGAGAACCATTGAAGTTCGTTAAACAAGTGATTTTGACATGAACTTTGTATATGTTCAGAAGGTCTTTGGTCGAGAAAATCATATGTTTTTATCAATAAAACTAAGGGATGTGGGCGTGAGTGTGAGCCTTCTCTTGGGCAACACCCACACCCATCCTTTTTTACTGGATGTGCTTCAATATAATATATTACAGTCCTTGATAGATTATGAAAGTTTGTCTACATGAAAAACTTTGGCAAGCACATATACGAAACTGATTAAAAATACAAGTAGAGACAATTTTTTTAACCTTTTTAATATGATATATCTTTACTTCTTTCCTACTGATAATGGTTTATTTGTCCATACATATGAATTCAGTTAAGCTCTGTCCAAAACTGAAATCAGATTCCTTTGTTTCGAGTATCAAATCGGTGAAGATTCATATTCATTAAAACCTCGTATTTTTTCGTTTGATCAAAATAATAAGAACAAAATAGGATTTTCTTACTTTTTGAATAATCGAAATATCGGTTTAATTCGAAAATTATACAGATGCATAAATGAAATTATTCTGAATATTTTCATAAAATAGAAAATTTTTTCACAGAATTCATTTAATTTTTGAATTTAATATTTTATTTTACTAAACAGACAAAATTAGTCTAAAATGCCTAAAAAATGCTAATTTAGCTGAGTTTTTTAGCTGCTAAAATGGAGAATGTTTGTTTGGTTGTGTCGGTGTGAGTGGGGATGTGATTGTATAGTATGTAGCTCTTCTTTTGGTCCACATTCCGCACTCCACCTCACTCTGATAGTCGTGTCTAAGTGAAACTATAATAGCAAATACGTCTTGTTTTTCGATGAATATTTAATCAGAGAAATTTGAAAGTCAATAAATCCAGTTGAAATAAATTTTCAATAAGATGATTATTCATTCATATTTACGTGTATGTATGTGGATCTTTTTCGTTCTTCCATAGCATACTGTACGCGTAAAAAATTAATATATAAAGAGCTTGTGTTCTGAATTATTCATTGTTTATGTTATTATAACGAAATTCATCATTCTTCATCAAACGCGTTCACGATATTAACAATTCCAGCTCATTGAAGTGATTAATCAACTTAGCATACATTAAGTAATTTGTCAACTTGTCTAATAAGTATATTTCTATCAAAGATGTGTTCGAGTATTTCGTTTCATGAGCAAAATATTTTTTTTTATTCCAATAGAAATGTTTTCGAAAGAAAAATTAAGTATGTGATTAAATTGTGTTTATTTTTTTCTTCGATAAAATGTGCGCAAAAATTCGTTGTGATGACGACGACATCAATAAATCAATCTTATATTCTTTTTTTTTCACTTTTTACAAGCGTGGTAGAGTAAAAAACAACATTTTGTCATAAAATTTACAAATTGATCTTTTCTTCCATCACTTGCTAATTTCATATTCTTATATATACATAGACATACATTGCACTTGAGTGTTTGACATCATTATTCGTATTTTTTTTTATTAATCGTAATGCAAGCATTGATATACTCAATAGTTTTTGTATTCGTTTTTCTTTTATGTGGTAAGATAAAGAAATTTATACATGATATTCTTTTTTTATTCGATTCTTTAACTTTGTCTAGTATCAGCAAGATCAATAGAAGATGTTAAACCTATTTCAAAAGTTTCAAGAAAAGATCTTGTTGTATTACCAAGTTATTCAAAATTATTAACCCTTTTGAAAAATCGAGAAACAAAATTTTATGAAAATGATGATGATGACGACAACAGTAGCGATCAGAATGATGATGACATCCCACGTAAAAGAACACAATTAACATCAGCAAATCGACGAGTTTTTCATATTCCTATTCAACGTACTAATCGTCGACATCAACCATCATATGCCTATGGACGAAAATCTCATTGGGATACGCTTTTTGGATAGAAATAAATAATTCTATTATATAATACATTCGTTATTTCAGTTTGCATCTAGTCATGCAAACAATATATTGGACATGAACTAGTTTTATTTCAATCTATCATTTCAAAAGGAATTCATTGTTTTTGTTCGTTTTAATTTTTTCTCCTTTCTTGCTTTTTCAATATTTGCATTCGATAAGAAAAGTAAAAGCTTCAATAAGATTTTAAATAACAATTGTAATTCTTGCATATGAGAGTTGGCCACAGAGAAGAATAAGCTTGTTTCATCTTCCCTTGCAGCAGGATAGCATGAAAATAATTGTTGAATAAAACAATCACCGCTAGATATATTGTCAGAAAGATTCACCGACATTTCTTTCTTGTCTGATTAATTAATAGATGCACTTTCCCACCAGCGACATCTATATACAATCTGGAGGCAATGACCATCGACATAACTTTGTCATTCTGTCAAAAATCACTTCGGTGAAATTGATAGAGAATAGCACAAGCAAAACATTTTCAATTTAAAACACATGTTTATAGAAACTTGCTCTGATCAGTAAAGAATCTCATTTGGCTGTAAAATAAATTTAGAATTTTTCGATACCTAACTTATCGTATAGGAGTCATTGTTTCGAAACTATGAATTAAATACATAACTGAAGAAGAATCTGCTAACAAGGATGAGTTATCTAAGGTCTGATAGCATAGCACGAAAAAATTCCATCCACATTTCTTATTCTCGTGCCTTTACTAAGTTAAAATAAAAGATTTACGAAGAAGTTCTATATTATATGACTCGCATGATGATATTTGTATGATCTCTACTCCTGATCTATAATGCTATGTCCAATTATTCTATGCCTCGTCGTACCAAGGACTCACCTTCAAAGTCTTACACTATTAAACAATTGAAGCAGTTCTTATTAAAAACAAAAGGACCAAGATTTCGTCTTGTAAATAATGATTCCATAACTACATTGGGATCTAGATGATGTAATTTAAGATTAATAGAATGAGTGTGGATGTGGTTCTTTACTTCTCCCAAACTATCAAGTCGAATAACACAACTCTTGTTAGGACGAAGACACAGCCCAAAGTACAATTAATTTAGTATGTCAATAGTTCAACTCAAATCTCAACTATGCAATGTGATATCTCAATATGATCAATGTTCGTCGAATAATGTGTGTAGCTGTTTTTATATGGCAGATACTGTTGAAATCGGTATTTGTCGCTTTCAATGATTGAATTGTTCTCAGATAGTTGTATGCAAACGCTCAAACAATATTTATCATGAATCTGACCACATCTGTTTTCATCATCCTTGATGTTATAATCTTTCTGTTTGTTATCTAGCGTCGATGATCCGATAGTGTCAAACATACGTTAAGTGAAAAATCTCTAAACCCCTCCCCGCATTAGAAGACCCCTGGTCTTCTATTATGTGTCGTTGTAAAAATTTCTCAGAGGGGTCTTCTATTATGTCCTAGGTTTGTTACCAATTATTAACTGAAAGTAGTTTTCCAGAAATCCGAGGCGATTTTCAGGATTCTCATAGGGATTTTCACGGTTTTGAGGGTCGATGGATACATTTGGACTCATTTTCTAAATATTACCAGCTGAAGAACCTAAAAACTGTGCATTCCTGGACGGAAATTCCCTAATTAAAGTTCCTAATTAGCAAATAATTTATTAATTAAAGGGAGGTCTCCTAATACGCCCGATGAACTTTTTGACCAGGGGGGTCTTCTATTATAGGGGAGTCTACTAATATGGGGGGGTCTTCTAATACGGGGAGGGGTTTAGTAGACTATAGATCTTTTCCAAGAACAATCAATTGACAGGGAAACAATCTATCTTATTTTGTTTTTGCTTTTTTCATTGTTGACATCTTGAATAGAAACTTTTTATCTATGCAAAAATCTAAAAGCGGTGCAATTTAGAACATCCACAAAAGTATTTCAGTCGTTCAAATTTCGAGAAAGGCTTTTGAATGTTCTCGAGCACTCAATGTCTTGTTGCTAATGCCGTTCAACATCTTTTTTTTTCGTTGCTAAAGAATCTGGAAAAAGAGCCTGACTTGGATGAGTGTTCCTGTGTATCCACACCAACACAACCGCGAACACTGGTAAAAGCAATGACACGCACACCCATTGTTCGTTTTTTTATTATAAATCAACCCCTTAATAGTAATCTTAATAAATAATTATAAAAAAAATAAAATCATTTACCAAAACCCTGACAAATGTGTATGATTATATTAAAACAATTTCACGTGTAGGTATTTTGTTACTTAATTTAGCAACCCATTGTTTTTGTTCTTCTTCATTTACACACATTATTAATAATGCTTTAGCTGATAATTTATCATTAACTAAAAGCAAGTATTCTGTTCGATGATTTTTGTTTTTTATTAATCAAATTACCTCGACATGATAATATAAATTCTTCTCTATCATCATAATGTTGTTTATAACAAAGTACATGACATCGTATACATTCAAGACATGAAGGAGGAGAAAAATTATGATAACATGGATGATTACATATTTCACATTGTGTTAGCATACGATAAGCAATAATAACAAAACTATGACCTTTATTTTCAATTGTTTTATCAGTATGATTATTTTGATTCTAAAAGATAAAGCAAAACAATTTCAAAACGAATATCGTGAAATAAATCAGAAATTTTACTTGTGTATGAATTGTTGAATTATTTAATAATGTTTGACCTTCATTATCATATAGCACTTGAAATATTTTTGGTATCATATTTGGATCAACATGAAGAACATCGCCTATGAATGAAACACAATTTTTTATTTTAGAAAAAAATCATCAAAATTTGTTTTACTTTGAGTAACAGCTCGAACATGACAAAGTTTACTAAATGATAAAAAGAAAACATATTTTAATATGATCATCTAATGAAAGTAATATCAAATCTTTTGCTTAAGAGAAAACTGCTCAAAAGCAATTCATCACTTTTTCCGAATCATAGGACATTTCTACAAGTGTAAGGATGTGGGTGTAGGCAAAGGAGCACTAACGCCTACACTCACACTCACATCCTTACACTAATAGAAATGTTCTATAACTCTGGAAAAGAGAGTGATAGAATTGTGAAACTTTCAGAGCATATAGAGGACTCTTAAGACTGCCATCAAAACAAATTTTGGCTCCCTATAAGTTTCTTTGATGGAGGTATACATTTTTCTTTTTATGTTAGTTCTCACTGGGAAAATCAGAAAATCGGTCGTAACCTCTGAAGAAAAAGCTGTCGGTTGGAACCCTTTTAGGTTTTTTATCTACTCGAAGTCCTCTATTAAACGAAATCTGAGCGAGACATCTGGAAATGTTCTCTCGTAAGAATAGCCTAATAGGCTTTTGAATATTGAAAATTTTAAGAAAGATTTCGTTTTGATTGATACTTTTAGATTATTGTTAGAGAAAGAATATATTTATAAAACTGATGACTTTAATTTTGATTCTTAGTTCTTGTCAAAGTCTATAATGTCAAATTACAACAATAGATTTCAACTTTGAATAAATATACTGAAGCTCCTCCCACCCAAAAAAGTGACTTGCTCAAAATCAATAGAAATTGCTGGTGATTGATCATTTTCTGAATTGTATAATAATAATTTATTGTTTGTAATAACAACATATTGTTGTTTCCAACTTCCATATGGTCTATTGTTTTTTTTTGTAAACAAATTTTTCTTTTAATTGAATAGAAATTAAATACCTCGGTCATCAATTGTTAATAAAACATTATCAATTGATTCACGAATTTCAACTATTTGTTTATATTTTTCAATTTCAACTTTTCGTGTTTCTAATTCATGTTTTAATTTATTGATATCTTCCCATAATCTTGCTAATTCTTCATTTTTTTCATTTTGTAATTTTTCATAATTCATATGTTCCTTTGTTTGTTTGTTTTTGAAAATAAAATTATTTTAATTAACCAGAAAAACAAAAAGCTTTCAAATTTTTTTTAAAACATACGACTTCTAAAACTTGTTCAAGACGTCGTGCAACATTACGTTCATTTCGATCATGATCACATCGGGGACTACTACGAATTGGTCTAGATAAAAATAGATTATTTTGAATTGGATTTGATTCTATTATTTCTTGAAGTTTTTTCGCTGCCTATAATTAAGAAAAAAAACATCTTTTTGTCTTATTAAATTTCTTTTATAATTAAAGAAAAACTGCATACAATTTCTTTTTTCGTACATTCACTATCAACTTTTTTACGTAAATCTGATAATTGTTGTTCTAAATCATGCACTTCTAAAATATGAAAATTTAAAAAAACAAACGAAAAGAATTTCTTTTATGATTACAAACGATCAAGTATTGATTTGAATTTATTTGATATTCCTTCACGATCTTTTATTGCTTGTTCAAGTTCATATTGACATTTTTCATATCTATTTCGAAACTAAAATGAAAAAAAGAATTTTTTTCTAATCAGATTTCCATAAATAAAATACTATGAAAAACATGATTAAATTACATCTACAATTGTCTCATCTAAGTTATAAATTTTGAAATTAACTCAAATGCACTGAGATCTGTTTTTATGGAAAAGAAAATATTTATTAGCCATTGCTTTTTGATGAAGCTAGACATTCTCTACATTGGTCGAAAATTCAGTAAAACCGAGTTTGACTCGAATATGAAATGCAGTACGAAGCACGAATCTCGAGTTTCCAAACAAATTGATTTTAGTATTTGTCATGAATCGTATTTTTCTCTAACGATATTTACATCTTCTAGAAGTTAAAGATTTTCTCTCGATTGAAATCGAAGAAACTACATTTTCATCAATCAGCTGGTTAAAATTAGGATCATGTCTATGAAGAACGCTATCGATTGGTCGTTTAATTATCTATACGATTCATCATCTATAATCAGGTGTATTCACAAATGTTTGATATATGAGTAAATAGAATGGCGCCTCTCGAAACTTGAAAAATTTGTCTTTTTGGGATGCTATCTGTAACTAAATGGAACAGGGTGTGGATGTGCTTTCTTCATTCACAACATATACGCATGCTCACCTATGTCCCACACCCTATTTTGTTGTTTTTAGTCTCATCAATATGAAATTTTTTCACTATATCAAAATTTAATTCCAATAAAATAAACTACGAAAAAGTTATCTTTTCTTTAACAATTATACTAAAAATCAAAAATTAGAAATAATATTTTCATAAGGGTGTATATTTATAACCTACGGGATTAGTTTAATATTAATCGTTGTATCAATATTATTTATAATTGCATGTGAAATTGAATTTAATGATATAAAAAATTAAGAATTATTGATTTAAATTTTATCCGAATTTTTCTTATCAAGATTTTAATACCATCATAAAAAAAATAAACTTTAGGTTTGTTTAAAAAGAATTAATTTTACTTGAAGATTTTACGTTAAACAAATTTTTTTCATTTTTCTTTCAAAATCCCTATGATGATGTTAAAGAAATAAAAGCATATATATTGGTAATAACTGATAATCAAATTGATTTAAATAACTATGAATAATATCTTCCTTCTAATCAAGTTTGTTTTTTTTTGTATTTATTAAAGAAAATTGAAGAATAATTTATGTAAGATAATTCATTATTAATTCATATATCTGAAATTCATCGTATAAATCATTTAAATAAAAGTGAAGGAGCTTGTGCACGTTACTAATGTTGAAAAGAAATTCAAATGCGATAAATTCTATGAGAAATAGTCATTTATATATGGTTTCTTTAACGTCCATCTATTATTATTTACTGGAATCATCATTTAGATCTATATCTTCAAGTTAAACATTTACAGAAATACTTTTTAAATTCAAAAACATTAAATACAATTATGAGAAAGTTTGTTTTCTTTCTATAATAATAAATATTTAGATTTCAACAATAGATTAATATTGGAAATGGTTAGAAAATAGTTTTATTTTGAAATCTGTGTCCAAAAAATTGGTATGTAATAATAAAAGTTTCCGTAACTTAAGTAGATTTATAAATAATGAATTGAATCGTTTAATCGGTTAGGCAAAAATGAGACTATTGAGCATTAAATCTGATCTATTTTTGAATCAAAAAATTATTTCGAAATATCAAATGTTTATAATTTATTTAATGAAGAAAAGACGTTATTTTCAATCAGTATGGATTCATCAAATATCATCAGAAGAAGAAGAATGTAATTTATCAATTCTTCAAGCATTTAAATATTCATCACACGGTAAATTATATAAATACATATATTTTTGTAAGTGAACATGACACAATGAAAATGGTTATGTCTATGAATTTGGAGGTCATTTATCAGAACGTCGAAATAATTTATAAAAACTTCATAAATATGGATAAATTGATGATACATCAAAAAGATCTATTATAACTTAAATAAGATTATATAATCGAAATATGTTGAATTATTTATAGAATTCATTCACAATCTCGGTTTGAATTAAGAAACTTATTGGGTATTTTTATCTTTTCTCTAATTAAAATAAAAATCTTTTTTTTTAACTTTTACATCAACATCTGAATTAATTTGTATGATAATTCTGTATTTCATGTGGATAGAAGTTGAATTCTAAATTGAATTAAAATGCACATATTGTTGTCAATTTTTTTTCATATGTTGAATTAAGTATAATAACATGTTCATGAATTGGTATTGATATTTTGCATGACGATATATCGAACAAACAGAAGGATATGTTTATATAAATTTATACTTGTCGACTTTATGTCGATGATCTTTCAACATTCTTATTTGGTTTTTGTTGCGTTTTTTTTTGTGAAACTGACATATTCTCTCTAGCCTCATTAAACTGATACAAAATACGTAAAGTGATAAATCCCTTGTAAACTATAGTTGTTTTGCAGGGTAATTGAATATCAGAGCAAGAATCTTTCTAATTTCTGCATTTCGAACAGGAATTTTTTATTTTTTCTACGGGTACTATATTTTTGTTTGCATCGCCGTAGAAAAAAATAAAAAAATTCTGTTCGAAATGCAGAAATTAGAGAAGTGATTACTCTGGACATCAATCATCCTGCAAAACAGCTATAGTCTACGAGAGATAAGTTCCACATTTCAGCTTCAAAGGGGCTGTACTAGCAAGCTTTTTTTTCTGATTTTTTTGTGCTCCCTTGGTTTATTTTGAAAACACTTTTCATATAGATCATTGAGTTACATACACTATTCATATTATACATTAAATAATCGTTGAAAAAATTCCGCAGCTGAAGTAAGAATTAAATTATTGCATTCACACTAAGAAAAATATTTTCTACGACTTATTGTTGCATATCCATTTCCGAGTTTTAAATAAGAGCAAACTCAATTGACTATCTTCATTGTTATGTGAGATGTTTTCGAATAAAAGAATATAACGACCCAAATGCATAAACATTTTAATTGTGATTACTGATATTTTTTTGTTCTACTATGAGATGAACGGAAATATCGTAAATCGGGAAAGCAGAGAAGTGACTACCTATCTGAGACAATTTCCATTTTTCTTCCAGCAAAACTATATGGTTTTCTTGCATGCTTTCCTCACATACTTCCATAACAACGATTGATCCTTCTCCAAAGTTGTCAGTTATACTTACTGACTAATTGACTCCCTAATCATGGTTACCTGAGCACAATTCTAGAGATGAATATCCCCTTGGTAAATGTTCCACCATAAATACAGAAGTACATTTTAACTGATATTTCCTGAAGACAAAAGTACTTTTTTGGTTTGAACCTAAACCATCACATCCCCCAACCACACCTTTTCGCTTTGAATAAATATCAATTATAACGTTTGTTTGCATTCACAATGGAATACATACTATGGGAGAGTGTGAGAGTTGGAGGTGATCTTCTCTTCAGTCATGTCCATACTCAAGATATAAGGTTATAAGAGTATATGTAGTGAAGTATCTAGAGTGTATCACAGTGCATGGCACTATCTGATAGCATAAGACACGGATATCAGAGTTTGGTTACACGTATTTTGTATTCATCAATAGACAATGTGTGGAAATATATTTTGATTAGAATCCGTAGTATATAAACATTGTTGCAAGAGATCACGACTGCAACTGGACGGATGACTTTGATGAAGGCAATTCTCAAATTCTGGATTTATTAGGGTGATATTTGCACTAGAATACATTTTGTACTTATATTTGTGCAGCCCTCTATGTCGCTGTAAACAGCCATATACGGATCGTATTCTTCTACCAAGGAATAGTCATTGATAAAAAGAAAGAGAAAAAAACATAATACTCAAATTATGGTAAAGTAAGGACACGTGTTTTGATTAGTTTGTAACTGTCGTATGGAGTGAGTCACGTATCTTCGCCTTAGGTGTTAAACTTAATTTTTTGGTCGCATATTTTTTTTCTTTCAATCCTTTCATGTCTTCATTTGTAAACATAAAACTCGGCGATAAGAAATCTAATCGGTCTCAAACGAAAAGTATAAAGATAAACTAAAGTCAACACAAAAAGAGTAAAGTATTTACAGATATCATTTAATATTCAACTACTCGTCGAAAACTAATAAATGGCCAACGAACAAAACAAAACTACAAAAACTAATATTCAAACTCGTCATCCATTAGAACCTTTATCACTTTCGGAAATCGAACTTACTGTCAATGTTTTAAAAAAACAATCTGATAAAGTCACACCAACAACACGTTTTGTATCTATTACTTTACATGAAGCACCAAAAGAAAAAATACTTAATAAATCTAATGAAAAAATTTCACGTGAAGCTGATGTTATTCTATTTGATAATGGTACAAATTCATGTTATGAAGCACATGTTTCACTTGAAAATGAAGGTCATCTTATTTCATTTGAACATATACCTAATGTTCAACCAACAATGACAGTTGATGAACAAGTTGAATGTGAACAAGCTGTACTTCGATCAGTTGAATTTCAAGAATTAATACGTAAACATTATGGTATTGATGATGTTAATCGAGTTATGGTTGATATATGGTCAAGTGGATATTTTGGACAAGAAGAAGAACGAACACGTCGTTTAGCGAGACCTTTATGTTTTGTACGATCAGATCCAACTGATAATGGATATACACATCCTATTGAAGGTTTAAGACCTGTTGTTGATCTTAATTTAAGTAAATTTATTATTTAAAAACTAAAATTGAAAATATTTCTTTTGATTTTATAGTGGAAGTTATTCGTATTGAAATATATAATCATTATCCAATTCCTTATCTGAATTTTAATTATACAGCAGATCGAGTAGGAAAAGTTCGTGATGATATTCGACCATTAGATATTATTCAACCTGAAGGTCCAAGTTTTCAAATTAATGGTAATCAAGTATCATGGCAAAAATGGTCATTTGTTGTTGGTTTTACAATGCGTGAAGGTTTAGTTCTTCATCATTTAACTTATGATAATCGATCAGTTTTATATCGAGCTGGATTAAGTGAAATGGTTGTACCTTATGGTGATCCAGCTGAACAACAAGCACGAAAAAATGCATTTGATTGTGGTGAATATGGTGTAGGTTGTTGTACAAATAGTCTTGAACTTGGTTGTGATTGTCTTGGGTATATAAAATACTTCGATGCAAATATGTGTACAAGTCGAGGAGAATTATTAGTTATTAAAAATGCTATTTGTCTTCATGAAGAAGATGTTGGAATTCTATGGAAACATACAGATCGACGATTAAATAATCCTGAAGTAATTTACAAACAAAGCTATGTTCTATTAGTGTGATAAAGTGAGTTGTTTTTCTTTTCTTTATTTAGGTACGACGAAGTAGACGATTGGTTATTTCAAGTATTGCAACTATTGAAAACTATGAATATGGTTTCTTTTGGTAATTAGATTCTTTTTAATAAAACATAATTGGTAATGTAGTGAGAAAATTAATTTCTATTAGACACAGCTAAAGAGAATTCTTTCTACATGTAAAATGATGAAATATCTGTATTGTAATTAATTTTCGGAGTTGGTCGATTATTTTATTCAAAGATTTACTCAATATATCATATTTTTACATTCATATTACTCAAAATGTAGCAAAAAGTCAAAATTTATAATTTTATTAAAAGTATTCTAATTATTTTTAAGAAATATAATTCACTGAGAGACAAGTTTTCAGTCTTTACACATTCATTTATCGTAAGAAAAGAAAGGAAAAAATCTATTATGTTTTCTATTTTTAATTTCTATTATAACTCTGCTAAAGAGCGTTTTTTTTTCATTAATAGGTATTTATACCAAGATGCCAGTATTCATTTTGACGTAATAATGACTGGCATTCTATCATTAGGTGCAGTTCCACCAGATCAAAAATCTCCATATGGTTCAATAATTGCTCCACAATTATTTGCACCATATCATCAACACTTTTTTAATGTACGTTTAGATTTAGCTATTGATGGAATAAATAATACAGCATATATGGTTGAAGCTGAAGCTGATCCAGATGATGCTAAATATAATCAATTCCATAATGCATTTCATATAAATAAAATACGACTTGATACTGAAAAACAAGCAAGAAATAATTTATGTTTAGAAAAATCTCGTTGTTGGATATTTGAAAATAATTCTACTCGTAATGCTATTGGTCAACCAACAGCTTATAAATTATATCCAGGTGAAAATTGTATACCAATGAGTTCAAAAAAAGCTTGGTGGCGTAAACGTGCTAGTTTCGTTGATTATCATGTATGGGTAACACCATTTGATGAAAAAGAAATGTTTGGATCAGGAAATTATCCAAATCAAAGTCAATCTGATATTGGTTTATTAAAATATACGGAACAAGATCGATCAATTGTTGATAAAGATATTGTTCTTTGGTATACATTTGGTGTAACACATATACCAAGACAAGAAGATTTTCCTGTTATGCCTGTTGTTAAAGGTGGATTTACTCTTAAACCAAATGGATTTTTTGATATAAATCCAGCAAGTGATATTCCTAAACCGATGAAAAAAACCGATGAAACATGCTGCAAAAAATAAAACAAATAACAATATTCATTTTTTTTTATTTTTCT